CATTGATTAGCCATTGCAATAGTATTCAGTCCATGTGTTTAAATTCAACAGTTCGTAGTTTTATGCGTAAATATATCGTGATTTCTGTTCATGGGAATCATACTAATCGAGTGTTTACTTCGAGTGTTTCAATTGGTTATAGCCTCCTGTTATAACTCTGCGAAATCTATCCTAAATCCGGTCATTAATAAGCACTATTTAATATTTCTTGATGCTTATCATTTCTGACATAGAATGTACGTACAATTGATGAAATGTATTTTAGATTAGTTTAAAACTGAATAAGTTGATGGCATAAACAAATGACTATTGAGCGAGACTATAATTTATGGAAGAACCAATCATGTTTACGACAAAAGTTCTTAGATTTTGGCGCAAAATTCGTTCCAACATTTGGCTAAATAGAGTCCTGGCATTATAGCTGATGACAGTTCGTGATGAAAACCCTGAATCTAATTCTTAACTCTAACTATCAACTGTAAATCATAATCCTTATTATTTAAACTGCTATATAACCCTCATTTAGCCCTAGTAAGTAGGTAGACACTCTCAAGGTCACTTTAGCGTCACTCAAATGTCGTTCATAAATTATAGTCTCACGGACTACTGAATAATTATTTCTCAAAATATCACTCAAGTTATAATGTTTAATGTTTTAAAGATACTTTCTTTACAGTTTGAACAGATGCTCAACCGATACCAGTAATATATTTTTACAGGTTACTTAAATTTGCAAACGTAGCATAAACCACATTTAAGTAGCTTGTGTCAATAACATTTCATATAACAGTAAAGAATGTTGATGTTTGTATGAAGAAAAATCATAGAATGTATTGGATAACTCGGTCATTATGTTTTAGACATGTTGTTATAATATATTCCTCAAATATACTTATCTACCTACAACTTCATATACTACTACATTCAATAAAACACTAAATTATCTAAAATACTTATTTTTATTTTGGGAAATTATTATAAGCGAATGAATTGATACGTCGATAAACAGTACAGTAGAGTGAATAATAAAAATAGACAATAAATACAACTACACTTCCTAGTATCTTATGGCTTATTGCGTTCGCGGGAATATTAGAAGATAATACCATGTATATAACTTTAGAGAATTATTATTTAGTAGATGTATAACCCCTTTCAAAATCATATCTAACCAATACAAAGTACAAAACGAGATGAAACACAATGTAATAAATAATGATGTTTGGTATAAAGTGATAAAAACAAACTATCCAATAAGATCATTCATATGATGCAGCAATATATAACAGAAGATGAGATGAATAAACTTTCATCTCACTAATTTTTATTTATTTATTTAAACACAAAAATATTGGTACAATGAGACACTAAATACATATGCGCCACACAAATCACTCGATTTCTGTGAGGGCTACAATACTGTCCGGGTGCTCAAACCGAGACAGGTGGTTTTCTTAGGAGGTCACTATCCGAGCCCTTGACCTGGAGGTTTAATCCACAAGGCAGTAAAGCAACATTAGGAGATGCAGTTCCATGGTAGCCAGTGACCAACGGTAGGTTTATACTCCATTTGTTCCTTAAAGATCCTGGAGCCCATGTGCACCATTAGTTTAGAATCAGGGTTTTTTCACTCCCCTAAGTTGATTCTCCATATCCACCAACCCGAATAAAGCGCCAGACATTCGTTTTCCGCCATTCCAATTTCGTAAACAATAGTAATACCACGAGAAGGGAGTGAGTAGGAATTCCCTGGCAGTGGTTGTATACACGTGGCCATGTGAGAGCATTTGGAAGGGGAGAGCTGATTCTCCCCACTCTTTGCCGTACCAGAGCATTTAGGGGCATCTCACTAATTGAAAAACTCAAGGTGTTGAAATTGAATTAAGCCATTTTTCTTTTCATAAATGAACTTGAATTAATTAGATTTTCTTCTCGAAATATTGAAAATCTACCTGAAATCTTTTGATTATTTCAACTTTACAGAACTATATTTCAGTTAACGGAATGAAAATCAGTTAGATTCAGTTACCTAATATTCCATAAAGGTACTTATTAAATTGAGAGCATTTGATAGACAACTTATGAAGTGTTCAATTAATTTGAAGATGATTATAAATATAACTAGGAATATATCATGCCACGATTGGAATTTTAAGGTTAATAATTGGTTCAATGTTAAGTGGGCTTTGATCGAAAATTGAAATCAGCTGAGGAAAAATTAAAAAGAACAAATAGTTTGGCTGTTATTTTGCTTAAGTACATGAATTTTAACCGGCAACGCAATTTGTATGTTTAAATCTATTCTTCCACTTGTTTATTGTGGATTTACTAAGTGGACACCAATCAGAATCGCTTAGATAATTTCATATATCTTCTCTATAACTTCTTTATTGATATAGGAAAACGAAATATTGTTCAGTTAAATAGAGTTCAACACCATTAAACTTCTGGGTTCCTCATGTTTTTATTTCTTTATCATAAAGTGAACATTTTCAATTTGTGCTAGTGCAAAACTTTGATTAAATTTAAATAACTCAACTAAGAAACTATTTGCAAATCAGAATAATCATCAACACTATACGTCATTCATGCATATTGATCAACTTTTCACACATTGGTTCATCCTACGTCAAATATTTACAGAGATTGGTACTAAACTACAGTGAAACATTTGTCTCTTGTCCCGTAGTTTTTAGCGGTTGTCTAGCCAACATCAGTTTGTAATGACAGTCGCCTTGAAAGCATATTACTTTATGACATATGGTGCAAGAAGGTTTTTCATCACGAACCAACATCAGGTGTGGAATCATTGAAAATCATGGAGACCTCAATAGGTATTTTGAATTAGCAGGAAAGTATATCTGAAATCTATTAGCCACGATTTCTTATTAGAGCCTCACTAACATTAATTAATTTCAGTCATTATTGATGAAACCATAGTTTATTTGAGTGGAGTAGTTCCAAGATGTAACAAAACGAATGTCTAACATCATCTGGTTTTCAGTGGCATCATTTTACTTCGAAATACATCTCATAGTAAACTACTCTTTATAATAGATATAAATCTCAGTGTTGCTTTAATGAATGGTTTTGGGTCACATATACAATTTCTGACTTTAAGAATATATGATCACAATACCAAACTTCAGAAAATATTAAAAGATTTTATTTCCAGCCAATTTCGAGAAATCATTACTATAAAACGTGTCTAAGGTGAAGGGTGCATAATTTGACCTTTTGACATAATCCTCATTGATCAAGTTAATACTATTCTCTCACGCTTAAAAAAAGGTAATAATATTAACTTATGTCATAGTTTCTTTCTAAGTCTTATTGTCTTAACCTAATATTCAGAATATTTCACTGAAGGAACTAAGTAATCTTTCATATTTTTGTAAATTCGATGCATTATTTTCCTAGCATTTCGGTTTTTGAATGGTTAGGGGACTTAATCGTCAGTCAATGTGGTGATTTATTGAGTTCCACTTCAACAACTCGAGTTAATTTAGTCACATTATAACATTTCAGTCATTACGTTATCTTTTCTAGTCAAAGTTAAATATACAAGCTTATATACACGTCAGATAATTTACATTAATTAAGATTCAAACAAATTTTTTTTGATTGAGATCATGAACCGATTGGTGTTAGATCGCCATTGAAAATCTGAAAGCACTGGACGGACGTTTCGTTCTATTGTGGGACTCCTCAGCAGTGCGCATCCATGATCCCACCCGCGGAGTTCGAACCTAGGGTCCTCAGTCTCCACAACCCTTATATTGATAATTACCATGTGCTCACTAGTGACTAGCTCCATGATGGTATTCTCAGAGTTTTACTTAAGAGCCGTGACCAGTGGAGCTTATCCATGTCGAGTAGAGACAGGTATCTACCTTAGTACAATGTAAGATGATCGCGCAATTTCGTAGACTGATTGAAGTTAGACATTAACACCATCGGATGCTGGCCAGCGCAGTGATCCAGTATGTTAAGCATTCGCGCGCTTCACTGAAGACCTTAAGTTCGGATACCGCGGACGGGATCATGGATGCGCACTGCTGAGGAGTCCCACAATAGGGCGAAACAGTCATCCAGTGCTTTCAGGTTTTCACTGGTGGTTTAACATCAATCAGTTCAAGATCTCAATCAATAACTTAATAATCTCCACTATCCTTATACTGATAAGTTTTTTTTAATTCTATTGTCTGCATTCAGCTTTTACGAATTATATTACAACTTCCAAATAATTTTCATTACGAACTGTCAATAATTAATTAAAAAAATTAAAAACTAGACACACATTATTGAATAGGTAATCTGTATATAACTGCAGTTGATAACTTGACGTGATGAGGATCAATTTTAAGAGTATTATTATTAGCCATTAGAATTGGGGAAAAATTTATTATACTTATCACATAAATGTTAGTTTTTGTAACTCACCTACCGCTATGGTAGTTAAAATCATGAGTCCCAAAAACAAAGTTTATGGAGTTTACATTTTGTTCACACACACACAAAAAAAAGAAATCAGCATTCAGTAGCCGAATTATCAATTAACGAATAAATGTATAGTAACCCTTGTTATTTTTTTGGAAAAGTTTCATTGCCATTCATCTAACTTCAAACTGTGTAGAATAGTGTAAATGTAAATATATATAGAGAGAAAGTAAATGATATAACCTTCTTAACCGACCACATTCCATCAAATAATACACATAGACGTGTTTTAAGGGGTGGAAAACAAAACAAAAAGAAGAAAACCATCATTTTAAAATCATTCAGACAGAAAAACTGTAAACAAAAAATACAAACATAAATCTAGGTCACTTCAATAAGTAACTTATCACAGTAACAATTATTAATTCAGGTTTCTGTCCTCTTCTTTATCATCATGTAACTATAAATATGTCTGTTAAATATGATTCATTGATGTATTGAATAAATTCCAATAACTACATAATTGTTAATGTCGTTTACTTCTATACTCTTTAACATAGGATATTTCTAAAAACTTAACTAATAATACACTAAATCCTTTACAACAACAATGGGGAAATCTTACAACTAATATTAATAAAGCTTGTAATCAAAGTGAACAATTTACAACGGATGATCTTGAATATCAATACATACGTTGGTTAAAAAGTATTGAAGATTCAGCAAACACTGTAAGTTCTAATTTATTATTATTTTTATTTCTAATTTTATGAATGTCTTATTATTCATAGTGATTTTGTTACTGACAGTGATGGTAACACTTCGAATACATTAAAATGTTTGTCCAATGAAATTATACAATATAATGTAAGCTCACTTCAAGTCAAATACTGTTTTAATATCATTAACAAAGTCCAGGATGCGCGTTTCGCTTTATTTGGGACTCGTCAGCTGGATGTACCTACATCTCAGAGAGTTGATGTTCACTCTGGGACTCGAACCTAGTATCATTCGTTTCAAATGCCATTGCGTTATCCACTCAGCTACTGAGTCCTGATAGCCACTTGCTTGTGCAACGGGATGAATTTGAATTCACTTGCTATTGTTTGGCAGGTACGTCCAGCTGACGAGTCCCAAATAGGGCGAAACGCGCGTCCTGGATTCCACTGCTAGCCACTATCCATCACTGCTTACAAATAGCTTTTGAATTAAGGTAATATCGAGGCATACGCACAGTATGCACGTATGCCAATAACAGACTGATCAATTGCAGTCTTAAACCTCAATGGGAAGATACAAGCCAAACAATACCAAGTGAATTCATTAACAAAGTATTGTATGTTTTCACAAAACTGAAACTCAATGTGAGCTATTACGGGTAAATATAGATTCAATATTCAAAATATTAAAATCAAATTTCATATATTAGTAGTATAAAAATGAAAATATGTTGTGTAGTAAATAAATAGAATCACGTGATAATTGGGGGTAAGCTGTTACCATTGCAATTCAACAGTATTACAAAAGATGAGGCAGTTACCCACTAACAGCAATGAATGATGGTCACGTAAAATCTTGAACTGACTGGATTTAAAAATGTGAATCGCCAGATTCTAACTCAGTGATTGACGTTTAAACGCTTACCACGAGATATGAAGATCTTGGATTCGATCCTAAGTGGAGTTGTGGATGCATTTTGCTGATAAGTTCAGACTAGAACAAAATACCTAACTAATGTTTCTTAGTTTTCAACATGGACTTGATGATAAAAAAGCAAGAGTTTTTAAGTGTTTTAGCCGAATTTATGATAAACGGTTTCATTTTTAATAATAAATATATTTTCGTTATATCTCGATAAGTAGGAAAATTGTATTTCTGACGTTTCATGAGTTAATGTAAGCCACTTCTCCACAGTAAATAAATAACCGAAATTACAGAGCATTTCACTAACATCTGAGCACCATATAGTAAATGGTAAATTTGCAAAATATCAATCCATCGTCACAAATTTGACTATTCCTTTGCAAATATCAGTCCATTGTCTCAGATTTCATTGTTCATGCATTTTCATACCAATTGCGTTCTGTTTCCGTTCTTTCCTTATCGATCTTCTACTGAAATACATTCTATGCCTGACCACCGTTATATACTACTAATATGGATATAAGTAACCCACACCACAATATTTCAAACTTTGCAACAATTTTTATAGTACAAATGATGATACCGATCATCTGTCTTACGAACAATATTGTATTTGACTAAAATGTTGCATAATATTTTGATTATGCTTGAATATTGTTCATTTGCTTTGATGTTTCACATTGTAAACAACTATTCAGAGAGGATAATAAAATGAATTATAACTGAAGAAAAATTTAGGTTTGATGCTTGTAATTCTGATACTTACAGTGTTGATATTTCGGACAATGTCGCAAAACTATGCGTCTAAATCTTAAGGTTGATAATCACATTAGTAATTACCACATAAAAATACAAACTTTCAGCATATTACCCTTAAATTCCGATAGCCAACGAGTTGATCGTTAAACGGATATTTTATATTTATGCTAACGTGATATAGTCAAATTTTCATGTAAATATCAACTACAAGAAATTGAATCCCCTTACAATTGTTAGTGTTATTTATAAAGGTTAGACTTATTAATTCTAAATAAACTGAACACTAGATAGATTGTTAATAACAAGAAAGTATATTTTGGAAGTCCTAATATGAGTAGAAAGTAGATTTCTGATGCTTTATGTAAGATAATTCTACGGTGAATAAAAATTTATTAAATTAACAGAAGTTCTAGTTGTATCAAAGAAAGAAAGTAGATTATTTCCAGTACGATCAACATCAAACTATTTCTGATCATGTCAATATTTTAGTCAGGGTTACTTTGATTATGTGATATAAAGCTGAATATAATTGTGTTTGTGTCAGTGAATTGAGAAAAATAAGATATATATATATATATTGTGAAAAAGTAAGATTGAGAATATATTTGAATGTTTGTTAGTGGTGTGAGATGTGAAGAGAATCCATTGGGTGGATAATTGAATAAATGATCCATACTGGAAGGGTCGTAAGGTTTTGTTTTCTGTTAAGTACGTAGGATTCAGAAATGTATAAAAAGATTTCGTCACTTGTCATTCTTTGTAGTTTGAAAATCCTTTTCGAGTTATTTTAATGTTAATTATATCGATTTGATGGTTGTTAAAAATGTCATGTACTGTTGTTGTTGATTTGAATTGAAAATATTTAAGTTCTACAGGATTGTTTGGAGGTCATAAAGTGTAGCCTTACAATCGTTATTTTTGACAGAACAAGTTTTATAACAAGAAAAATGGAATGTATTTTAGTATAATCTTACATAAAGTATATTTCACATTGTTAGTCTATATGTGTTTGGTTTTGGGTTCTGTGAGCTTCACTAACAGCTGATGATGTTACCTGGAAAAGCACTGAAAGCTCCGATAATATTACATCCATCTTTTACAACACAACATCACCAAAAGTATCCTCTTGAGCTGTAAAGCAACTACAACCATGGTTGGAATCAAACCCTGTGACTAACTCATTTTATTTTCTCTAAATTTCGAAATAATACATACCGATGAATCCCATTGGCAAAAAGTTATCTGCATTTATATTGATGACATCATTTATTTTTTTTTTGGTACTTTAGTTAAAGCCTACTGAATTAGATGAAAATCTTACTAATATATTTACTCAAAATAATTACATGTACATAGAATCATCAACAAATGATGAAAATGACATTTCTAAACATCAGACCAAATCACAATGTTCAACAGAACACAGTTTTAATCCTATCGCCTTACCTAATGTAAACAATACATCATCATTAAAAACATCTACACAAGTAGATGATAATAATAATAACAGTTCATCGGTAAGTTACTTTATTCTATCAAGCTTTGAATTTTTTTTACGTTTAATTTTACACTACTAATAAATGATTTATAAGTAACTTACGATCTTATATACTTAATATGAATCACAATATCCTTTAGAATGATGGATAAAATTAAGAACTTGCTATGCTGAAGTACGGTTTAACTCTTATAACTCACTGATCATTTACCTTACTGTAAGGAAATACTAATAATTTAACACTCATTTAATAAAAGTTCAATTAACTATTCAGCTATGAAATTAAATGTCTGAAAGCTACAAAACTAGTTTTATTTTTTTCTATTTTTCACTAATCAATGAAGCCCTATATACCATTCTAAATGAACTTATGCTCATCCATAAATTTAAAGTCATATCATCTACTACTATTGTCACATAATCCATAATTAGATGCTGTAGATTGAAGATCCTTAGTGTATTTATCCATTCGAAGTGTCGTAGCCTTTTGTAATAACCCACTGTAATCTTTATATTTTATTCTAAATTATTATCATCTAAACAACTTTAAGGTTTAAAGTCTCTTACATTGTCTTAATATAACTGAAATTATTAGACACCATGTTTTTCATTGATGTTTTATTGCATTTTAGTCTTTGCATAGAATCAATCAGCTAAAATGTAAATCTGTTATATAATAATCTAGTTGAATAGTGGATGGGATAAACGAAATATCGGGAAAGTAAGACAGAGAGAACAAAAGTGAACTAAATTACAGGATATTTTTTTCATTATTCTTCAATGATCATTTCATGATTCCATCAACGTTTTGATTTTTATTTACTACACTTAATGCCTAATTTTGACTAAGTTAGTGCATGTTCTTTTAAAATCATATTCAATGGTTTGAATTGTTTATTCAGTCTGAAAAAGAGTATTCCACTTTCACTGATTTGTCATTTGGTTTTTCTTTAGACAAATTTTGTTAATCAATATTGTACATATATGCATTTTAATTTAACTTTATATTATAAATATGTATGATTGCCAACTTATACTAGACAAGAGTTGATCAATAACTACGACTTGTCTATATATATATATATATATATATATATATATATATATATATATATATATATATATATGTATTGGTCACAATTACACTTGATTGTCACTTGCAATAATGAAAAATGGCTTAGATCCACTCTTGGAGGGAAATTTCATTTTCTATCAAGTGACTATTTTGTAGGTGTTTTTAATTGTGGTGTCAGTTACGATGTTAAGCCCATATTACTTATTCTAGATTCTGAACAGACAAATCTATTCATTCCTCTTGAGTCAGGCTTTGACCTTATTAATTAGTCACTTATCAATCCTGACTGTTTTTATATGAGCATTTGTGTGTGCACTTCTTATTCTAATCAATCACCTATCTGTAATCTATTTTTATCTGGCTATAAATATGGATTAACGCTTGATTAAATCGAGTTGGTTCACATACCTTCTCCACTGTGTGTCACTTTGCTTCGCTTTCTTCTCTTCGTCCCTCTGTTTGTCTGTTCAAATCAATGTGTGCAAAATATACGCATTCAAAAATTGGCTTATTTAATTCCATTATTCACTAACGCGGATTAATTCGATAATTATATACGAGGATTGGCGACATGTATATTTCAACAACAATCACCATACGATCTAAATGGAGTCATATTTAGGGCTACTAAACAATGCAATCCGGTTGTAAATAAGGGTAATTTTGAGGCATCCTTATTTAGGAGTTAAGATGCTAACAGAGATCAGTCAGATTCCGTCTTAAACATCAAGGAACATGAAATGTAAACAATTACAGTGAATACAAAATTAGCCACGTTACATTGAATTTTGACTCAATAGTACTCGATATCATGTTTTTCTCTAGGACTTAGTTCTGATAGAATTAAATTGATCATCCTGGAATATAATCACTATTAAATAACTCAGTGGTAAAGTCACAGACTGTGACATTTGGTAAGATAATTCAAATTCTTCATGAAGTTTCAGTTCTCGAATTTCAGGTGCGTCCTGTTGATCAGTAACAAATAATACGATATTTGAATTTAAAATTTCTTCACATAAGTTCCCTTCAACCATCTAATAACACACTGTATTAACTTTCAACTTACAAAACAAGCATACATTTGCCTATTCTCCGATTGTCTCAATTAGTCCACGTTACATTCTATGTAGTATTATCGTACATTTTAGGTTTAAACTTATACGACTTTAATCTGAGTATAATAATTGTTCACCGCACTGAAATGAAGTAGATTTCAGTTAAAATAAAACCGAAATCTATTGAAAACTCCAATAAGTCTCTTCCATAAAGAAGTTAGAACCTTCCAATATCCGATATTAGATTAATATGCAGAAATGAGTGTGAAAAGAAACCCAGGAGATTAGAAGAGAAATGGCAGCATCGTCATTAGCAAAAAATGATCCTATATTGGTGAGTTACTAAAATCACGAACAACAAAGGCATTTTGTTCATATGTGTTTTTACAATTACCCGTTTGAGGAGACTGAATAACTGGCTATTTGTATTAATCTTATAGTTCTTTTATTTTAAATCCATAAATCTATCTGAATGGTGCAAATATTAATGTTTAACACTGTCTTTATGCTCTATATTTATTTTAACAAAGGAGAGTAAACGAAATTTATTATTGGAACATTTAATGATTCAGAGACAGAGACTGGCTACCGCGGACGCTTCAGTTGCATTGCTTGCGAAGAGATTAATGCTGGTAAATTTCCCTAGTTTCTAAATTCTCACTGGTATTATTTACAAATGCTGTTTTAGAGGTAAAATAGGTCTTTTTAATTAAATAGCCTGATTAAGTCACTTCTTGTATGTGTTGTCCTCTATGAAAAGTCAAGATGAGCAGTTTGATAGTCGGTGTGTAATAGCGATTATATTTAAAATCGATCGTTAACCAATTTTTGTTTGGCTAAACGAATTAAGTTGCAACATAACTTTCTTAATTAGTTACATGAACCTGATAACCAGCGCTTGGTTGAAAAGTATGCTACAAGCATATTTGAAATTGCTGAAGTAAAAGTATCTAAATTGTAGTTCAAACAAAATCCTTTGTAATTCAGTTACTATACATCATACTCGGAGAGCGTAACTTATTATTGCTTAAAGAAAGTATGCTACTAACAACGAAATTCAGTAGTTTAATACAAATCTCTTATCAGTATCGAGTTGTGGTGATTGTTGGGTTATAAGTGAGATCATGAAATGATCAATGTTAGAAAACGATTGAAAACATGGAAGCACTGAACGGCCACTTCGTCCCATTGCAGGACTACTCCGCAGTGCGCACCAACAGACCCGCACGTGAGATTCCAACCCAGGACCTTCAGTCGCACACGTAAGCGTCTAACCCCTAGGTCGCTGAGCCGATATCCAACCGTGCTGTTGTCCAACTTCAACCAATCCACGATATTGAGCGATCATCTTCCATTGTCTTCGGTGGGCAACTGCCTCACACCCGATACGACTGAACTCCACTGGTCTTGGCTTATCGCTGAAACTCCGAGTATCCCCTCTCGAAGCTAGTCACTAGTGAGCACATGGTAATTATCTCTTAATTATGTTTGAATTATCTTTGTAATTCATTTAGCTCAATACAAGTCCTAGAGTTCAACAGAACAACACAGAAGAGAAAGCAATATATAAGCGAAAAGTTTCCTACCCTGGTAATCCTTTAGAGCAGAATATATCAACATTTGACCAACTGATAGACAATCAACAAGCTCTAACCTACTCAATGACTCCAAATGTTCTTCGGAACTCTAAAATGATCGGTGGCACTGTCAATTCAACAATTCATAGTGAATATTCCACTGATAGTATATTTCAGTCTCAATTACCCAATAGTTCCGTAGATGATATCCTAACCCATGGACATTCACCAAAACCCAAATTTACAGGTAAGACACACATTACAAAAATGTTTTTGAACAGAATGTTATATTTAATGATTATGAATCTATAAAGTTTTGGTAGCCAGGATTTTTATGGTTGTTTGCACACTCAGTCGATTATCATTTATCGATAATCTACTATCTTGGATACAATTCTCTTATTGTACTACTGTCTTCTTTATCCAAAGTTGTATATGATTATTATTTGAAATCATGGTGAAAATTGACCAGTGTCAATTAATACTGCCTCAGTAGAATGAAACGTATTACTGTACTTGATATTAGAACATAAAAAAAGGGAACCTAACACTAAGAGTCGAAGTCCAGCATTGCAACGTACCTTTTCTTAAGTCTAATCATATAGAGGTTAATCAAGCATATTTGGAATAAAGCACACTTCTTTCGATTTGGAATCCAACAACTGGATGTACCTGTAACCCAATGTTCATAATCCTACTATAAGCGTAATAAGTTTAAATGACGACTATTAAAAGAATGATAAGTGTGTCCAGAATCCCACCGTTAGCCACAACCTGAATGTACTAAGGCATATGACAAGCGTCATAGCGAGACAATCAATTCAAGATGTATATATGGCAACAGAGACTGATCATTTGCAGTTCTGGATAAAAATATAACATTATCAGTACGTTTATGTTTTGTAAAAACATATATAATCAGGGAATAATTGTACTTCAAGAACGGTTTACACACAATGGAAATAATCATTGTTAAGTGAAGAATTCTAAATACGTTTGTGGATTTTTGACACAAATGATAATCTTATTTGACAGATTGAAATCATGATTCAGTTGAAGCTAGACCACCATTGAAAACCTGGAAGCACTGGACGGCCGTTTCATCCTATCGTGAGACTTCTCAGCAGTGCTCATCCACGATCCCGCCGGCGAACGCTTAACATACTAGACCATTGAACTGGCCAGTATCCAACGGTGTGCTCACTAGTGACTAGCTTCGAGAGGGAACTGTCGGAGTTCTAGTAAGAAACCGTGACCAGTGGAGGTGATCCGTGTCGAGTAGAGACAGGTATTTACCTCAGTGCAATGGAAGATGATCGCTCAATTTTGTGGATTGGTTGAGGTAAAACATTAACACCGTTAGATGCCAGCCAGCTCAGTAGTCTAGTAAGTTAAGCGTTCGCGCGCGAGACTGAAGACCCTCAGTTCGAATCTCGCGAGCGGGATCGTGGTTGCGCACTGTTGAGTCCCACAATAGGGCGAAACGGTCATCCAGTGCTTTCAGGTTTTCACTGGTGGTCTAGCATCAATCGGTTCAAAATCTTAATCGATAAATTAATTGCTTAATTTAAAACACTATGAATGTGGCAACCAGAGAGAAGGGTTGAACTAGGATAATACGGACTTTCAGTGTTTTTTTATTATTTTGAATAGTGTCAGAACGGATTTCATTAGAGGTGAAAGGAGAGTGATAAAAAACCAATGACCATCGAACTGTTTAGTTATGAACACGGATAAACTCACACAGGGTAAAATGCAAAACCTCCAAGCCTGTCTAAGTACGATAGAACTGTGACTGATTTGAGATCCAATAATTTGTATTTCCAGTTTCAATCAATGAGGATTTTCTACAGTGTCAAATATGATATCAGCGTCAATCTCGATATGATTGGACTTACTTAGCCACAACTTTCCATCGGAACTTACAAAACGTTTTTTTTAGAAACTAGTGACTTTTGAACACATAACTACGATATCAAGGTAGAGAGATTTGTAGACTATTGGTCAGTTTCATCACAGATGATAAACCTAATTTCATTGATGTTCAAAGTATCGTTTAAAAAAGATGTATTAATTCAGTTACCTTCAAACAATTTATTTGAATAAAATATTTTCTTTCACTCTTAATACATTACACTGATCTACATGATTTGTTTGATTGATTTTTATTCTTTGAAGGTTGGCAAAAATCTAGTACAATCGAACGAATAAATAGTTCAAGTGCTCAATATCTTTTAGATTCTCCACGACTTAACAATAGCAATAATAATACTACTACCAATAAATCAACTAACATTACACAAAAATTTAAGGAAATATCAACGAATAATATGAATAATAATATTAGCAAAAATGAATTGAATAATTTACATCAAGATGGTGATTTATCAGTTCCTAATGTTGAACGAAGGAGATTGCCAACACCTATTCGCGGCGATTTATCGGTATGGAATGTGAAAAAGTATTTACATAAAAATCCTCGTAAGTGATATATATATATATATATATGAGCACAAAAAATTTGTGATACAATAACGATGTACGGAAACCATATGGTAGCAATCCAATTTCAATATTACCATTTAAACGACTAAATACAAATCATCCATTAACATTTAATCTGATCTGATATGATTACGTAACAAAGCGTGATTACATTAAATGTCTAGACTTGAGTGGTTCTTTAAATTGCCTTGAAATTTTTGTACATTAAGAATTCATCACTAAAAATGAAACAAAAAGTAAAATACATGACCTACTAATTTCCCAACGTTTATAATTAGTTTCCCAATAAAAAAACCCAGTCATTTTCGGTATAGAAACTCAACTGTACGTGTACAGATGAACCTTTCTATAAATCATCTGTATTGTTGTAGTGAACAAAAACACCAGTCAGAGCAATCGGATATATTGGACACGAAAATACAGAGCATCTCAATAAAATCTGAGAACCATATAGTAAATAGTCAATTTGCAAAATATCAATCCATCGTCACAAACTTGATTGTTTCTTTGTAAATATCAGTCCATTGTCTCAGATTTCATTGTTCATGCATTTTCATACCAATTGCGTTCTGTTTCCGTTCTTTCCTTATCGACCTTCTACTGAAATACATTCTATGCCTGACCACCGTAATATACTACTTATATAGATATAAGTAACCCACACCGCACCAATAAATAATTTCATAAACAGTTCCACTTTATACTCACTTTCCCTGTATGTACATTTGTAAAATTATTGAAACATAGTTCTGGGCTTTTGATCTGAAGATCATTAACATGATTATTTTCAACTTTTGAGGTATCCATAAGGTAAGATGGATGCCTATCATCAAGTAAGTCTATACAGGGAATAAGTTTAACTTAAGTTTATTTTTAAAGGGCAAAAATGAAATTAATTCTTGTTGACTGGTATAGACAACACAATTTACATTATAACGAATATTTTACATGCATTTCTGATGCTGTTTGTAATTTATGATTGTATAATAGCTTATTTCTCACGAATATAAAATGTTTAAAGCACTCTACAATGTATATATGACCAACAGAGCTATTCATTGAGAGATCGATAGTTAAAAGTATGTCTTAAATTTTCACAATAAATTCTGAGAAGGTCACTACCTCAAAACTAGTTGGTTCAATAGTGTAACCAGTGATAAATGCATCTGTGCATACACTTATACATATCACTTTAAATCAAACATTCTGAAGTCCAAATTAGCTACGAAAAACCAGACTCTAAAATACATTGTACACAATTACATCACTGAGCACAGGGATACGTTGAATAATGAAACTGATATCAAAAAATCAGTGGAATAGAAACACGTACAAAGTTCTACATGCTCTTTGAATTTGTCAGTGTTTTTATTTAACTTTTCAACCTTAAAATCAAATTATTTTAAGTGTAGATAACTCCCACTGTTTGACTCACAGGACTATGACTTTATTCGTTGTTCATTTGTGCACTCTTCATTGACTCAATAAGTCATTGGTTTAGTGAAACTGTATTCATATACAGTGATATTGTGGTCATATTTATTTACTTGGATAATTCAGTGAAGAGACGAAGGTTATCAAAACTATGTGATATATTTGCGCAATACATTTTGAACAATCTGACCACACATGTACTTGTTAAGAAATTATATATAGAAAAACAAAAGATCAATTAGACAAGTAGAAAGAGGAAACATACACAATAATCAAAAACAGTAAACCAAACAGGATAATAAGTATCACCGGGATAGGTTAAGGGTAAGAAAAGGCTGGTTTTAAAAATATAAAGGAAGTTTCAATCTTCGTATACATAAGGCTTCAATAATCTTTGGCACAAACTCTTCATCATTTCTACTCAGCACTACAAAAACTATCTTGATATCAACCCTATAATCCGTCTCAGCTAAATGTTCCGCAATGGAGGAAGATATTTATTTGTCTTGTGATCTTATTCAACGATTGAGCTTCATTTGTTCTGGTGTCCACTTAAGTATGAGTTCAACTATCCTTAGATGCAGATCACCAATGCTCCTACCTTTGCACTAAATGGAACACATTCTCCGGGAGACGTATACATTTATTGAATGGAGCTCTGGTAGATTAAAGGGTATAGAATCCTGAAGAGTCACATACTTAAACAAAATAGATTCGAAGTTTATTCTGGTTGTCTAACCGAATTCACACAGTGATGGAAACTGTATTCACGTATCCAAATAACTTATCAATAAATTTTTAGAAATGCTGAAATGTCTCAGGGTGAACATTAACTCTGAGATGCAGGTACATCCAGCTGACGAGTCCCAAATAGGATGAAACGTGCGTCCTGGATTTCACTGCTAGCCACTATCTATCTTTGCATGTAATGCTAAAATATTGTATCAGAGTTTTCAGACAAATTAATGTTCCATAAACATCTCGATCTGGTCAGCTTATTGAACAGACGAAAATAAGTTAAACATATATAAATAATGTAAAGCAAATTTAGTGCACAATAAGACCTTCTATTCAAATCGACAGAGAAAAATGACCTTTTAAAGATCTGAAAAGGACAAGTTGTCTTACAAACTGACAAGTTGATGAGAAGAGAACATATCAGACAGCGCAATATACCCATTAAGAACTTTCTACTTGATATGAATTTTTCAGCAAATTAATGACACAGTTGCTTTCGAGCATAGATTATCTAAGTAACAAGTCGGTTAGTCATAATTAAATTAGAACTTGGCACATATTTGCATTGTCCCAAGTTGTCATGCCACTTCAACACAGCAAGATGAAATCAACGAGATGTAAATCAAGTCAAAATAATACTGGGACCTTTAATAAAATTAGATTGAAATTTCAGTATTTTCAACTTTAGCAAATGTCGAATGCCAAGTATTCACAAAGTTCATTATATTTACTAATAAAGCAAATATATAATAGAAGACAAAGAATTAAAGGCTTTATACGTAAAGTATTTAAGAGTATAAAAAGTATTTATTTCCCTGGAAAACCATTAATTTTACAATACTACATTTTTGAATAAAATAACATTTTAGAGTTTACAAAACTTGCTTCAGAAAATGGTTATATTGAATTAGCTAACGCCAGTTCTTCTCCAACCAATGATGAAGATTATACAAATCGATTGTTGTATGGAATATCAAAAACTCAGCTACCTAGCCGACGATATTTTAATACTAATTCATCGAATAATTCTATGACAGGATTTTTAACTCCTATTAACTGTTCATTTTTATCGACAACAACACAACAATCATCACCCACGACATTAACAACACAACCATTATTATATAATGACAAACATTTGACCGAAAAGTCACTATTGCATCACAGACCACCACCACCAACACAACAAAACCAACTAAAACCAGTACCTCCACTTCCACCAAAACCAAATCAAATCAATATGCAAACATCTATTGAAGCAACACAAGAACATCTCAGCGCTGAAGATGAAGAAGTCTACAAATTTATGTCACGTTCGCTTGATGCTAATGAAGAAATGAATTTAGATTTTCAAGTAAGTCCCCATCTAATATGAACTAATCAGTTTGTATTCTGTAAAATATTTTGAAAAAGAGGGAACTAGACATGGTTACTATTATTAAATGTTTTAGTTTAACCACATATTTCTCAAAAATCCACATCATTATTAGTGATGAATCTTGATAAAAAATGAGATTTGTATCACTTATAATAATAACACTGGAATAAAAGACTGTTGATATCTCAAGATTGAGTAGGTAAATGGACAAGGAGTTTGTTAATTTCAAAGTTACTCACGTATCAGTGTTTACTAGGAGAATACGTCGATCATGTTTCTAGTGGATTAAAGCATAAATATGATCAGACAAGTTAATCTTCATCCAACAACTAGTCTTATGCTTTTTCAGAAAATCAATTGGTATAGATTAATTGAACAAAGATAAATATAAATATAACATATTTTCCGTTCAATTGAAATAACTCATGAATAACCTCATTACAGCAGGTGAATACCCAACGAAACAGCTTACTCTTATACCTTTTAACTATGTAGAAAATTAATGTTCAGTTTTCTATAGTATTAAACCTCAAGTACATTGTTAGATTTTTATTTAATCCGGATGATATTTTTAATCCCTTGCTAATGGTTTAGTGTTTTAAAGTTTTCTAATACTTACAACTATGAATGAGATCCTAACTTCGTTCTACCTACCATGCATCATGTAACCGGATACTATTAATATCTGTTATACTAAAATTATGTCTCATTGTTAGATATACCAACCTAAACTTGGGTAGAGAGTCACAAAGGATAATCAGTAAAACATTCCCACTGAAGCAGTTAATCCATTACATCTAAAGGTTCAGATGATAATTATTTTTCGTTAATGACAAAGCTAATTCAAAATTTAGCACATTTTCGAACAAACAATACGTGAAACATGTGATTAGTTTAGAGATATTTTCACTATTCATTGATATTATCTGGAAGTCTACCACAGTTTAGATATATTTCACTCTGATATATTAATTCTTAGTTGTGCAAGTTTGAAATCAAAGTCTATAGGTCTTGTAAGAAGAATATCATATGTTGATCGGTTTCTAGGGACGTGTAATTGTCTTCTCATTTGAGAACTTATGATGCTATCATCTTTAAGTGGACAGACATTTTCTCTCCATTTATGATACCACTACATCATGAAAACAAGCTCTAAATTAAGTAATCTTTATGTACAAACCATTTTAGTGATAGTAACCAGCAGACTTTTATTTGGAATTATATTTCCTTAAAATCTAAAGAAGACCCATGATCTGTAGAGTTTAGCAAATTGGGATTGGTCACCAATACTAAACAACCAAACTTTATCATGAATTAGCCTGTACCGAATAATGTACATTGTTAGATTAATTTCATTCCCGGTAGGAAGATTGGTGTGCTAGAGATTTCATACACGATATGCATTAATGAGAGGAGTTCAAAACTAGGACAGAACAAATGTTTAATACTTTCTTTTTTCTAATATACATAGATTTTCATTGAATATCAGCTTGTTATTAAGAATTACCTCTCCTCCTCTTGATAGTCTTTTCAATTTGCTTCAATTTTGACCAGTCATTAGCTATGAATTAAAACAGATACCTAATTAGAAATATATATATTATTTTATACACCTAAACAGCCTTTAAATCGAAATCTGACCGATTCCAAACAAAGACCTTTACCACCGCCATATTATGTGAATATAAATGACACAAATAATGAAAAATTATTAAATCAAAGAAAATTATTTCCACATAAAATATCAAGAACAATGAATAATAAAACTAGTCAATTATTAAAACAAACTATAACATTGAATCATGAATCGCATATACTAACTGGATCATTAACATCTTTAAATGATACAACTAAAGAAGTGGAAGAAGAAAGAGAAGAGGAAAGTAACAATCGATTATTGAATCCATCAACAAAAAATAGAAAATCATTAAATTCAATTGAGAAAATGAAAAATCAACTAGAAGTAAATCAAGTAAGAAGTCTGTTTGTTTATTATAGAAAGGCGCATATATACATATAATAATGGTGTTTTACAGGGGATACCAATTATAAACTAATTTGAAACCTTCTATACATTATATTATTATTATTAATTCAGTGAACTAACTTTAAGAATTAAATCCAGTGAGTTCTAATTGACCTCAAGTAATTGATATATGTTTGAAGTTGACAACCTGTACGTGTTTCAGCGCTTAGGTGTACATCAATACTACGTGGTTGAATTTAATCTCGTTAATTGGAATAATCAAAATGTGTAGTAGATTACTTCTAATGTGCGTAAATTCTTATTTTGTGTTTAACAAATAGGTTTACTAATAAATAAGCAGAGTAGTTACAGATTCAATGACAATGAGTTTTTTGAAAACAGCTTAATTCATGAAGGTAGAGAATGGGAATGCGTATTAACTAATTACGAAAAACTCAATTTTTATTGACACTATGTGAATGTTAGTCAAACGATATGCTAATGAAACAAGTGATAACATGCTACATATAGTTAATATGTGAAAAAATAACTGATGCTTTCATACCTTCTATAAATGTACGATCTATTAGAGACGCATGAGACTAAAAAACGCTCAGTTTGTCAGAAATCGAAATGAATCAAATACCGTGGTACGAAGTGTCGGGGAGCTGGTACTGAAAAGCGCTGACTGAATTCAGAAACAGATAAACGCCCGTTTATCTATGTTATCTATATATATTTGTTTCCATTTTTTAAACTTGACAATTAATCTGTGATAAGAGTTTCCCGTGTTTACGAACTCCTTCTTTGTGACCTATGGCTCCATATTTCGCACATTTGTGATAATTAGATAGACAGAAACAAGAGAAACTTCATGCTCCACAATCCCTAAAACTAATGAGAGGCTTTAGAGAACGACCTATATTAGAATTTTGAACATAAGACATACAATTTGAGCAAGGAAATCTTTTCAAAACATGATTTGAAACATTAAGATCAATGATACGATCCGAGAACAAAATCTAGCGAGAACCAAATGAAACATGATCTGTTGTGACAGTAGACATACTACTAGGATTTGGACATTCTATAATACTATTTGAGCAAGAAATTCTCAGTGAGTCAAATGAACCATCATTTATAGAGCTAAAAAAATATGACCTGAGAGATCAAGAGTTGGACATTTTTTAGATTAATAATACATCTATATTCGTTATTAAAATCTATCAGTGTTAGATTGAGATCTTGTTTTATTGTGCATACGATTCTAGTACGCATTGCATAATGACCAAGGTAGAGTATGAAACAAAATCATCGCCTAGCTTATTAGCAGTCTTAAAACAGCTATAACGCAAAATAACATTTGAATAGTAAAACTGTTGGTAATTTTCGGAAAATAGCATAAAAGACAAATAAAATACAAACTTTAATAGCTTCATATCCTCTATATTAGGAGCATAATTTAACCAAGACTGTAATACATTTAACTAGCTGAATATGCTGAGAGTATTTTCCATATAGATCCAGATAAAACAGAACGAACTTTGAAATAGAATGGTTGAATTAATACTCCTAGAACAAATTCAATAAAAATCATTGGTATAAGATAGCAATTGTTACAACGAGAGTAATTGGACTTAAACAATATGCAAGTTCACTTGATAAAATGTCCGAGGAAAGTCAAATTCAAATTTTTTTATAATATCTACTCGATATTTCTTCTGAGTGTACAGTAAATTGTTTCATTTTTCTTAACCAATGCACATGCATAAAATTGACCACTCGATTAAATAGAAAGCTTTACAGAAGTTATGGAGACAAGCATAGTGACAGTGTAAACGTCTGTTAAAATTGCAAACAATAAACCTTTCAACGTGAGTAATATTAAATTGTTGACATTATGGTATATCGTATACCCAGTAATATACCCTAAATCTTTTAAATATCTTGTTGGCTTTTGAAATAGATCAACTGAATCTGAAATTACTTACAAGAAAGGAATATGTACAGCTTTGAGATCCATTCTGGATCAGTCTACCTATTTTCTTTAACATTTCACATTTACAATATTTCATTGTCATTCGTTTAATTATTTTTCCTTTGGTATTTCATCACGCTCATTTGACTATGCTTCGCAATTGGTTTCATGTTAATACAATCAGCCACCCTTAATGATTTAAATATTTGGAATAAAATTTAACTCAGACATAGAGATTATTGAGAATTTGATCAAAAAAACCTAACTTATCCGCTAAAATATATTAAGTTTGCTGGTGAGACTATAATTTATGGGCGACATTTGAGCAACGCTAGACTGACCTTAAGTGTTCACCAAATGAAGGTTATAAACCTGTGTAAAGAATTAGAATTATGATTTACAGTTGATGGTTAAGATTAGGAATTAAACTTAGGGTTTTTATCACTAACCGACATTAGCTACAATACCAAGACGCTATTTAGCCAAATGGATGAGTGAATTTGGCGTCAAAACTACGAGACCTATTATCTTAAACCTGATTGGTTAGTCCATAAAGTATAGTCTCTCCAGTTTGCTTTTCAAATGAATCTTCTTAGTGAACTGGTCAAACTACGATGCGAAGAATTCAGAAAGATTATATTCCTACAAAATAATTTTACAATTCTATTCTTACTATCAAAATAATAAGAACTATCGGTGATTAGCTAATGGTCATCAAGTGATATTTTGTCTCACCTTAAAAATAAACACCAGCGTTATTTCGTAAACGTTTAAAACGGATTACATATAAATGCAAACACTGAAGATATTCAAAACAGAACTGAAAAGTGTTTCTTTTTTATTTTAAAAACTAGGCGCACAAAATTAAACGATATATCAAACAAAAGTCAGACTACTCATTTAATTTAAGAGAGTACTTACAAAATCATCATCCAATTAATGAGTTAGCCATAGAAACATCTGATGCAACTGTATTGCCTGAACAACACGGAGGAATATGCCTTACAAGTTTACTTGGTAATTGGCTTACATCAAGAACTACTCGAGCACAAAAAACACCAACAGTTGATGAATCATTGGATTATTTTCAGTGTAAGATTATTCTAACCAGTAGAATATGTGGTGGTTATCTATGGATTATGAAAAAGCCAAATCGTCAACGAAACAATAACAATAATAATATATGGGATTCAATAATGCGTCGAGTACATGATACATCATCTAATCAACTAACTAATACAGATAATGAAAAGCATAATAAACGAATCATAATACGTAGTTCAAACAATGCAAGATGGTGTCGTAAATGGTTGTCATGTGATATGTTAGAACAAAAGATATTCATATGTGAAAGAAAAGGATGTGGACGAATTGAATGTAAGATTTTAATGTACTATCATTATTTAATTTAAAAATAATTTGGTTTGAAATTGATCTTACTTGTTAGTAGTAGAGTTTTAGTTTTGAAATAACTTCAGTATAATTGATTCAAACCTGTGTTATCAAGAAAAAACAACACCAAACAAATGAGCTTTCAATTTGTTAATGTAAATATTTTACATGAAAATGTAGAGATAAATCAAAGCTTTTATATATGGTGTGATCATTTAAGGTAATATGTTAAAATCATATGCTAACTAAGATCACTCAAAAGATAAGCACAAAATAGAAAGATATATGATAGAAAGCGTTTGAAGTAGAAATCAACATTTTAAATCATTTACCAATGAAATGGGAATTTTGTTTACTCCCAAATTTGATATGTATAGCTATGTAATGAGAACGACTTAATTGAACAATTTACGCTGTTAGAGGGCCAATCAGCACAGACCATTTGATCACTTTCCACTGAAACTTTAGATTGCTTAGAAATGTAAATAAATAATGGTATTTATCCTATATACAAAATTTTCACAGTCATATTCTAAGCTTCACATTTTGATATTTCATGGCTCAATGAGATTGAAGTTCTGGAGGTTTCGACCATATTTGTTGTTGGTTCACGTATTATCAGGACAAATCTATTTTGGTCATCACATTTAAGATTTGCTTAGCCAGATAAACTAACGACAATATCGGTGTTATTAGTTGACAATATCAGTCACAATAACAATACTGTGATGACATTAAATTTATTTTTAATAAGAGGGATAGGTTCACATGTGGTAGATTTACTTATAAATCTTTTACTTCAGATTCAAGATTGCTCAACTTTCACCAAAGTGATTGTTTTTATACGTTTACATTTCATCACAGTTTGCTAATAACATAGTGCATTACTTTCAAACTGATATAAAACGATAAGCCCGAAGTTCGAAATCATCCTCTTATCTGGTCGGTATCACTACTTGTTAAATAACAAAATTGATTATTTCAATTAGTTATTTGTATTTCCAAGATTTTATTCGATTATTTATACTATACTATTTCATTTATTATGATATGGAAATTTTGCAAGATATAAGATAGTTGTCACCACGAATAAATATGACCCAAACAGAGACAATAGAGCACTGGACTAATGCATCACCTTGTTTTAGACTACTGCGTGTGCACTTCTAAAGAATCTGAAACTAGGATGAAAACAACTGTCCAGTGATCCATAGATTTCTACTGGTTCTTAGTGTCAATTACTCTGACACTGTTTCTTAATGTTTTAAAACATTATTTTATGTATTTAAAAATTTTTTTCACATATTTCCTCATCGATTTAGGTACGATAAACTTTACAACAATTAAAGATATACATCAAAGTAGTACAGATCAATTATTAGATTGTCAAAAGTCTTGTTCCTTATCGCCTAGAATATCTCAGAAAACTTCTTCAACATTAGTAAATACAAATACTAGTAATAATAATACTACTACCAATAATAATAATCGTCAGGTTAAAAGTTCTATTCAACAAGATAAACATACTACTATTTTGGATACTGATGAAGAACAAAAACAAAATTCATTGATAATAAAAAAATCAACTATAAATAATACTATGACAAAAAAAACAAACTGTACAGAGAAAACAGAAACATTATTTTGTTTAGAGACAACACTACATACATATTTTTTAATGGCTCCATCCTCTGAATTGACCAGATTATGGATTGATGTTTTAAAACAAGGTAAGTTCATGTATCAACTATAACAGTTAAACTTTCAATCAGTAAATTTACTTACTTACTTACGCCTGTTACTCCCAATGGAGCATAGACCGCCGACCAGCATTCTCCAACCCACTCTGTCCTGGGCCTTCTTTTCTAGTTCCATCCAATTCTTGTTCATTTTTCTCATGTTTATTTCCATTTCCCGGCGTAATGTGTTCTTTGGTCTTCCTCTTTTCCTTTGGCATTGAGGATTCCATGTGAGGGCTTGTCTTGTGACGCAGTTGGGTGCTTTCCTCAATGTGTGTCCTATCCACTTCCAGCGCTTCTTCCTAATTTCCTCCTCCGCTGGGATCTGGTTTGTTCTTTCCCACAGTACGTTGTTGCTAATAATGTCCGGCCAACGGATCCGAAGTATTTTGCGTAGACCAGTAATTTTAATAAATCATATATTTTCTTTCTACAATAAAATAGTCATTATATCATGACTTAAATTAAAACTAAGATTAACTTAATAAGTTCACCTTCATAACATAGTTTCTAAGTTATATTATATAAAAGAATTATGAAACTTAAAATATAATAATCATTAGCAAGAAATATGATGAAGTAATTATATGGACAAGGTGGTATATTTTATGCAAACCTACAAATAAAATAATCTATATAGAAATCTGCCGATAACATCTCCAAAATATTTGATTTCTATGTGTGTGTGTGTGTGTGTGTGGAAAATATCTAACAAACTTGTAATTTCAGAAGGGATTTTGTGGATATTATAGTAATTTTTAATAGTTGAGATCATGAATCAATTGATATTAACATATTAACATATGCTTACTAGTGAAGGTCTCCAAGAGGGATCGCATGGAGGTCTAGCGAGAAGCAGTAACCAGTAGAGTTCAACCGGGTCTGTTGTGAGATAGTAACTCACTGATGACAATGGTGGATGTGTCGCTCAATTTCGTGGATTAGTTGAAGTTAGACATTACCACCGTTGAATGCCGGTTCAATGATCTAATGGTTAAGCGCTCGCGCGCGAGATCGATAGGTTCTGGGTCAGAATGTCGCGAGGGGGGACCGTGGATGTGCACTGTTGAGGGGTCCCACAATAGAACGAAACGGCCGTCCAGTGATTCGAGGTTTTCCATGGTAGTCTAGCTTCAATGGGCTCATGATCTCAACTATTAAAGAACTTATAATTGATGAACTAACTTTAAATAAGCTTTTGTTTTTTAGAAGATTGAACTTGTTAACTGGAAAATATCAGTACTCAATGTAATAACGCTATAAACCAATGACAAGATTGTAGGGGATATTGTTATATTTTTAGCGTGTATGATTATCGCAAAATACGATTGCCAATATAGATACGCTGACTTATACGACCAAGCTAATGACACACACACAGTACAAGCAACCTAGAGTTCCGATTGATCCTTTATCCACCTAGTCTTGCCTGTTAATTCTAAAGCGCTAGTCTCAGCCTCCGCGATACGAGTCATATATTTCAAATATACTTGGTTTATATACAAGCCAAATCATACCACATCGTACCAGAAATAGAAAATAACAAGCCAAAAGTGGTTATGATAATGAGAAACTGTTACTAATAAATTGTAATAGAAGAATAGTAGATCGTATGATAATAGTCAATAGGTCAAATAAAAGTCTATGATGAAAGGAATATATAATATAGTCACTTCATAGTTATACAATAAGAATATATGCATAATATTATTTTACAAGTAATTACAAGAGGATACCATTCATTTATTCTCGTCCGGATATAACAGATATATTGATGTTAAGAGAATTAACAGTAGGACTTTTCTTGCCTGACCTGTTTTACTTGAGTGAAAATAGATTTGAATCTAACACCCATTATCCAGGTTTTCAACGGTGGTCTAAGATTGATCAATTTATGATTTCAACGACATTATTTTGTAGTTAGCCGTATGAATCACTCATCTATAGTCTTAAAATTAAAGCAATAAATTACTGAATAATCCACTTGGTCTATCTAACATTCGGATCCCACTTTGATTTGAGTAGTCAACTACCATTATTTGAAGTGTAGCACAAAATCAAGTGAAGGAACTTGTATTCTAATTAGCGAGTGATATAAATTTACTTGAATGTTCACTTTGAGAAACAGATTAAAAGCCGAAATATCAGTCATTAGCATGTGTTTTTTTTTATAGTAGTACACATCAAATCACCTCCATTGAGAATTTGAAGATACATTCATCAAAGACTAGGATGAGTTGAAGAACCATTGTAAGCCGAAATCCTCATTTAAATTTGGAATTTATTACTACTATGAACCCACAATGCAGTGAGCATATGTTCAGATGTACAAATCTAGTTTATGGTCAAAATAGAGAGATGAACATCTAATGCCTTAGAAACTTCAACTTTACAATGTATTTTAAAAAAAACCGATACTGAAACAATAAATATATGGATAGAAATAAAAGCAAAAAACATTTCTAAAGATTATCCTAATTTTTAAATTTTTTTATTTTTTAAAACAAATGAAACAATCTTATTAAGAATATTCGATAATCATCAATCGATTAAATGATCAATTTTGAAGTTTCTAAACACTACGGGACTAAATAGTTGCTGTATTAGATCGATTAACAATCAATGGAATCTGATCTTTTTTTCAGATCTATAATCAGAGTAAAGAATAAAACAAATTTAAAAGTACCAAATCTTTAGTCAAACATTTCCTACTGATCACACTAATTGAAATAAATGGATAATACTGCACATAATATTGTAAATAAGTTATTCATTAGTGAATTAGCTTTACTATGCTATCTAGCTAGATCATATGTGCCGAGTGGATATTGAGCCAAGTAAACTGGTTAAGGAATAAGTTATAAATGATATTAAATGTCACGACCTAACCTATAAGTATTTTTAGCTATGAGACTTGGAATTATTGTTATACATTAATTAGGAGTCTATCACCTCGAAGATGTAAATAAGAATTAAAACCTTCGTTCCAAAGAAATACTACAAATAATATCTTTTCTAACTGGAATATTATTACTGACTAATATCCAAGGTCATAATGCCCATTATCCTATTTGTCACTGGTAATCCACTTATTACGATGCTTTTTGCTGTCAATAAAATAAATTCTAAACCATATCACTCAGCATCTTCAAATACTGGTTGCAGATACAGTGCAAGCCATAACCGGGTCGTCCGCAGCTACCTAAATGACTCACTCAAATTATCGATAATCTCATGCATTATTACAAAATCGAGGTCTACCCGACCCTAGCATCCTTCCAACCTTATCTATTCACCAAGATTTCTAATTCTGTGCTGAGACTACGCCAGACACCAACCCACTATGACTTGAGATTTCTAAGACTGATTTATTTAAACAAATAAACATTCGTACAAGGAGGCACCAAATATATATGCGCCACACTTCGTCATCCGATTTGTGTGAGAGCTGAAATACTGTCCGAGAGGCCAAACTTCCAAAATAGGTGAATCGGTCGATTTGCTCAACTACTTCACTTCCTATGATCAATTCAGATCATTCTTGAAGCAAAACTCTGCATTCGGAGGGGGAGAGCTGCCCATCAATTATGTTTAGAATGTTGCTCAAGGTAATCAGACCACTTTGAATTTTGTCAGTCTTCAACAAGCAGGACAATCTGTGTATTTTAAGTTAACACGTAAATCTTTCGGTAGGACATCAATCTCCGAAAAGTCAAAGGCCAAAATCATTACCATTAAAAGAACGTCATTGAAAAAGTTTAACAAAATTGGGGAAGTTGGTGACCCCGAAGAACAGCACTTTTTTACCCGTCCTGATGACGTATCCGCCATACGCTCTAGATTGCCCGGCAGTAGGGAACCTTCATAAGGTTCATGAACTTTTTTGATACCCCTTTTGATGGGAGATGCTTCCAAACAAACATTAAGTCAAAAAATATAAATACAGTCAGGATTAGGTAGAAATGTGTGTCCTTCAGTACCAGAAGAACAGTGAATAATCGATTAGCACATCTACATCTGAAACTAGACTATTCTTCCCTAGTTTGCTAGTTACGAGCGATAGTTGAGTGTTGAATGATTATTGAGGCTAATAGTCTAGACACTATTATTCAAATTGATGCCTATGTGGTTATATGAAGCTCTCTACACTTTCTTATAAACTGGAACGATTAGCTACAAAGACCGGTCAGGTGAGATCTTATCTAGTATCTTATCAATCTAACTGCTAAAACTGAACCACCATCCTTAAAGATCTCCAGGTTCAATTTATCAGGGCCTGCTGCCCTACCGATCTTAAATAAGCTATAGCCTTTTTAATTTCATGAAGAGCCAGAAGACTTATGTTGATATCCCACTTATGTTGTGCTGTAACAGACAGTGACTAGAAAGTAGATATAGACTCGTTAGACTGTTCGTCAGTCTTTCGCCTATCGCATTAACTGTCTGAGCTGAGATCGGATCATGGTCTCAACTTTTACAGACATGATCTCACTAACAATCACCCGTTATAATTAACTTTGAGCATTTTGGCTTTTTTAAGGAGATTGGAAAGCTTTCTATAACACCTTTTCCATCCAAACTAGAGTCAGTAGAAGCATATGCAGCGACTACGACACAAGTATTGTTTCTAAACCATTGTCCTCCAATGTTTAATATTTCTCATTATCGTTAATAATAATATTTCAACTCATTTGCTATTCATCTCATTAATTTCATCTAGTTGTCCCGAAATGATATGTCAACTCGGGCTGACGCACACTTACGCCGAACTCTACCTCAATGATGACTGAAAAACCTTCCTAATAACCACTAGGTTGAAAGTTTTCGTTCCGCTAAAATTGTTTCGGTTGAGGTAGACGAATAGTATCAGTAGCTCCTAAACAACTAAAATTTGTCACAAACCCGAGCACATAAATACGTGTATTTGGTAAATGAATCACATTAATAAAAGGTGAGTAATTGAAAAAAAAAACAGCAAGAATGATACTGTGGTAAGGGAAAAAACAACAAGTGATTTCCTCAACTATACTTTTTTCCTTGTTTATTTATTTTTGATTTGACTACTACAGCAATGAGAATGGTTTCCAATTCTACTTTCATAAATAATAGTTAACATTATCATCATCACCATCATCATTATAATTAGTTCAGAAGAGGAATGAGAAGTAGGATAATCGTCGAATAAGAAAAAGTTGAACTCAATCTCAAAGGATACTCAAACAATACTGTATAAACTTACGATATATTTTATAACTTTATTATTACTAAACTAGACAAAACTACCTTCACACTACAATGAATTAATCATATTTATTTGTAAAAAGTAAAACACTATTCGTATACTCCATAATATTGTTATTAGTTTATATTAAGTTTATTTTATAAATTACGTTTATGATAGAAAAAGTCTTTTCTTTGCATACAATACCAAATTGATTCTTTCGTTGTTGTTGCGTATGAAAAATGATTGTGTGTAAAATAAAAATTTTTTTCATGAAATAACATATTTTATGGAAAAATCCTTAACAAACAGACAAAAAAATGAACTGAGAGGTGACATTTGTTGAGTATGTTTTACTTCTCAACAATTCTTTAATTCATGATAAAAATTCTAGTTATATGAATCAAAATAATGCAGATACACATGAACAGTGTGATTAATCAATCATTTACATTATTTTTTTAACACATAGATATTGGTACAAGAGAGGCACCAAATACATATGCGCCACACAGATCTCATTTGATATGTGTGAGGGCTGTGATACTGCCCGGGTGCCCAAACCGAAGCATATGGTCTTCTTAGAGGGCCACACCCGGAGCCTTTGACCCAAAATTCTAATCCACAAGACAGTGGAGCATCGTAAGGAGATGCAGTCCTATGGTAGCCGGTGACCAACGATTGGTTCCTACGCCATTTCTTCGTTCACGATACTCGAACCCATGTGCACCATTGGTTTGGGATCAGGGTTTTGCAACTTTCCTAGGTGGACTCTCCATGTCCATAACCGGGTTAAAGCGCCGGACATTCGCTGTTCGTCTTCTTAATTTCGTAAACAACACCCCTGCCACGAGAAGGCAGTGAGTAGTACTTCACTGGCAGAGGCTATATATGCGTGGTCATGTGAGAGCATTTCGAGAGGGAGAGCGAACACTCCCCACTCTCGGCCTTACCAGGACATTTGGAGGCATTTACATAATGAGTTTTCTATAATAATATTGTTTATAATTAGAGAGGGAGAACAAGATACAGTTTGGATTATTGTTGAAACATACCTTACAATCAAATCTATATAGTGTTAAACGTGCACAGTAAAACATAATATAATAATAAATAAATGATATGAGTTCATAACGTGATTTACTGATTTCAATAAAATATATACTACTAATCTGAGTTTACTTTAAACAAAACGTTTCTCGAACAGCATCATTTTACAGTGACATTATCATAATACGGCAGGGAATAATCAATTTATCAGCATAGGAATTTGCAGAGATTGTAGTATTTTTACAATCAAATTCTCAAATTGATCTAAGCTAGACTATCAGTGAAAACATGAGAGCACTAGACAGCCGTTTTGTCCTAGTATGGAGCTCCTCAAATGTCTAGATGTTAAGCGTTCGCATGCGAGACCGAAGGTCCTAGGTTCGAGTCCCACGTATGGGATCGCGGATACGCACCGCTGGGAAGTCCCATACTAGGACGAAACGACCGTTCAGTGCTTACCGGTTTTCAATGATGGTCTAGCCTAGATCGACCCATGAATTCAACTGTGAAAATAAATATTTTCGTTGAACTAAGCCTAGAGAAAAGATAGATGATCTTAATAAGTTAATGTAAGTAGTAGCTGTTTCTAATCAGAATGCAAGAATTAACTAAAGAAAACTTAATTCTATGTTTCGAACAGCAACAATCATTATTTCTTAAATAATTAAGAGGTAAAACTGTCATTTTAGAAATCCATTTACTGTTTTCTTGGACTGTCTTATTAATAAACCAACATTATAAAGTTAATATATAAATAGCTATATGAAACCTCGGGACATCGAACTTTATAATTAATTAGAGCTACAACATACTGATTACATTTTGAACAGTGATTAGCATATTCCAACTTATCAGATAGATGTACCTGCATTCCAATGTTAATGTCCACAGAGACATTGGGTTCAGAAAAAATGAAAAACTGAAAATGATACTACGTGCATAAATTACACCAAGGTAATTCAATATTAGCCAGAATAGTATATTGAGATAGATGACGACTGGGTAACATATAATTAAACTACATCAGTCAATGAAAATTCATAAAGTCATCAAACAATATTAAACACTCGATAGTTCAATTTACACTTAAGCAATATTTCAAATGAATACAAATTAAGCATGATACTTTACAAACTATGCTTCACATTTATAAAGTAATGGATATTTAGTCAGATAAATTAAGTAATCACAGCTATAATAGTATATTTTCAAGGATCTTAGTTTAATGAAGGCATTCAAAAGCAAATACAACCACTGAAAGTGAAAAGTAAATATATACCAGTATATTAGCAAAGGATCCAAATATGTATAAAATTCAGTTGACGACGGATGAACGTTAAGAAGATAAATCAATACGGACAAAATTAACGTGAAAAATTTGATTTTCTACAGTTTGACTGAATTCTGTCTATGGCCAAGTGTGAAATATTTCCATCTTGGTAGGTTTGAAAAGCAAAAAAACATGTCAATGTTGGAATTTAACTTAAATCTTGTGTACTGAATGATTAACAAATTACGGTCTGAGGTTGGTTGACATTTCAACTACAATACCACATAAAACGGACATGTGGAAAATACAACCATTTGTATCTAACCGTATGACATTCTACAGACATACATTGTCTATTTTTGATGCATACGAACAATGGGAAAGTATGTCTTTGTTTTAAGCATTATGCACCGTAAGGAATCATCATAAAGCAAGATTTGTAGATTCGTATGGCGACTCAGGAAAATTATATTCTACCTTGTAAAAGTATTTTACGCAGACACACTACTTTTTTTTCAATCCTATCAGTAACCCGACTTTATTGATTAGTATGCTAAAATTACCAGAAAAAATGACAAGTGTGCTGGAGTTTCCTATTAAGTTGTCGAAAATCAAATAATAGGTTAAGTAGGCGATTACAAAACCACTGACCATGTGGACATTTAATACTTTTTCAGAACATCCAAATGATCCCATTTAATAAACATTAAATGTTGGGTTTGCAACGTATTATTTCAGTCATAAAATCATTATTCATAAACTCCATACAAAACCTTGAACTACGTCTAACGGAACATCAATCGTATGAAGACTGATGACTCGATAAGACGCGAACACATGACCCAATGGATTTCGGGAGTACTAGTGTTACTATGTATCTCAAAGTAGACCGACAGGATGAAAATATAACTAGGTTCCTCCTTGTACATACTGAGAAACTTCCCAGTTAGTACATGTAACATTATAATCTCATGCAAAACTTCGTAAAAGCATACAGATTTTGAGCATTTACATGGACTGAGCTAGTGTGCAATTTGAAAACTAGGAAGTAGAAAAACTTATATATGGGTACGTGCGTTAGAAACTGAATAACAATAACTATGCAGGTGTGTATAACCAGTTATGAGGCATTTACCACATGAATGATAGAGCCGTTACTTGAACGTACGAATTAATCTCGGTCGGATTTTATAAACTGGCCGCGGTGAAATATCCATTTCTCAGCTAAAGGACGAATATACAACGCAGCAGTTTGTTTTAATTATTGTCATACAACTCGGCCCTTAAACAGATATTTTTAGGTCACTAGTATTCAGTTAAAGATGCCTTCGGACCGTTACTCGTATATATTGGCATCATCGAGTTAAAACTTCTGACGCTCGACAGAGAGCGCCAGGTAAAAATGATAGATCGATTGGTGAGGTAACCTTTATCGACTGAGATGGCATTACGAATGTCCATTCCCCAGCTAACTCGGTGCGTGACGACAGAAGCTAGGGGCAGTCACACCAAGATATGGCATCAACCCACGAAGAAACTGACTGTACAAGAACCATGTAGGTAGTTGCACCAACCCATACTTTCTTAACGAATAGTATCTTCTATGACTAATCTTTCCTATTACCACTCATACTGTTACTATGTCTGCTACCCTGGGATTTGCCTTGACAATTTCATTTCACTGTGCCTATTGGGTATCACAAAACCGATAAACACATGAGCCAAATTTTACGTTGCATGTGACTGGCTGCTTGACATGAGTGTTCACACTGACACAAATGAAGAGTTGTTAACTCGAGATCATAAATAGTTTAAACACCGAATAAAAGTTGATGAAACAGTATTGTCCTTAACATAACTTTAAAGTGATGTCCCCTAAAATCGTCCAACTACAGGTTTCGAGAATAAGTAGAAATGTTCATGCAGTCGTAAGAATAGTTCGCAGCTTTATAAACTGTAGGTGTTATGCCTAAACCAAACTTACATTTATCTTGAAAATATTTATGCTAATGAATTCACACATAAAAACAATCCTATTCGCATAAACGTAATAAAGGAAAATCATCATTATAGCTATATATATAAAAAAAACAAAATAAAATTGAACAAAAAGAACAAGAACAGAGAACTCGATTAAAATGCAACAGTAGTATTAATAATAGTTGTATACTTAAATTGGAGATGATTTTCTCTTTACATAATAACACATACTCTCCAATAAACAAACAAAACAAATGGGCACATCCATTTAACAACATATAACACACATACATAAGAATATAGGGACAGACACATACAGAATATGTAAACGTTCATCTGAAGAAAACAGAACGAACAATTTCATAGAGATGAAATTAAAAAATAACTTCGTCTACATAGTTTTGATCATATTTCAATGGAGAATAAGAAATAATATAAAGTAGGAATAAAAATCAACACAAAATGATAATATTTACATGAAGTTTTGATTCACATACTTTGTTGTAACACTGCATGCATTTATGTATCTGGATATTAAAGATATATTGTAACCTGGTATATAAAAGGTATCATAAGTAAAGTGAGAACAGTAAGCAGTTTATTAGCTGTTTTTCATAAAATAAATTAAACTTAATGATCAGTGATAGCAACTATAATAAGAAAATGCATTGAGCCACAGGTATACGCATATATATATATATATATATATATATATGCATATGTATATACTTTATTAGTTAGAATGAATTAATTACCAGAATGATCTAGAGAAAACTGATTTGACGGGACTAAGACAGAAAAAAAATATTGTAACAATTAAAATCAAGAATGATGAAACCAATCAGTGTATTTGTCTTTTACAAACTGGTGAAAATCGGGAAAAATGCCTACCGGAAAAATTGGATAAGTAAACTGTTACGCATATACAGGCGGAAAAATTGTGCTATTTTGAAGGACATATACATAGAAGACAAAATATGCTACTTTTCCTAGAGGTAGGTTAGTAAACGGAATATGAAGTCAGAAAAAATCAAGGCGAAAAAAAGAACAATTTTTATCGGTTGCACTTGTGTGTACATAGTGTGTGTGTAGCATACATAATGAATACTAACAATTGACATAGATTGCACTGAAACAAAATAATAGCCCAGTTTAAGAGAAGGCGAAAACAAGTCAAACTAAAAGCAAAAAGGTATCTACACAGAAAGGATAGAACTTTAATTAAAGTAAAGATGCAATATAGGACGAGGTAAATAGATTTCAGCGTATACAAGATAATAGATAAATATACACACGGAAACCCAACTTTGGTGTATATTTTTTTTATTTATGGTAAAAATGAATGAAATTAAGAGAATAGAATTGATGAAATTATTAACAACAAGCTGTAACTTACCATAATGATAACAACAAAGATAATAATCTGACAGAGATGGACAACAATAATAATAACAAATAATGAAATATTAGTTTAAATTCAACCTGACATAAAAAATTAAAAACCAAAGAGTTAGAAGAGGAGGAAACAATGAATTAATTGTCTAAGGTTGTTGACACATATTACATAAATATATTATATTAATAGACTATGACGAAATGGAAAGATGAAGAACCACTAAATGGAATCTCTTTCTCCGAAAAAAATAAGATTCAAATGCATATTGAGAAGTATTGTGTTAGAAGTTACAGTATTCTAAAGTAGGTGACTGTCGATTAGTGAACAAATAAACAAATATAGGTACGTGTCAATAAATGTCTGTACAAAAATGAACAGAGTAGTTCACAAAATCGATATGACTGCACTATATTGTATCTAAGATGAAAAAAGACCCAATTTAACATTATATAACATAATGAGAAAAAGTCAAATGCAAATTCATTTCACAAAAAACCGGTCGGTAATACGTAATGAAAAAAAGATTGATTCTGGTACGTTTTTCATAAAATTATTTGCTTCATCATTATCATTAATATAGACTGAAGAAAATTACTTTCAAATGGATATACATATAACATAACATAGAGAAGTCGGATTTAAATATAAAAAAAGCTAAGCAACAATGGAACTAGTTGTCGGTGTAATTGTTGTTGTGTTATTTAATTGATGCGATGTTGTAAGTGTCAATGAATGAATTGGTGCAGAAGACGAAGAAGAAGAAGAAACAACTGCGGCGGCGGCAGCGGCTGCAGCCAAATACTGTTGCTGTTGTGCTTGCATATACTGTTGATGCGTTGAATGAGCTGCTGCTGCCGCTGCCGCTGCCGCATACTGAGCTGGTACTACACCAGGTATAAATTGTGCAGCTGCTTGAGGGAATAAACTGAACGCAGCAACCGATGTACCAGAATGAGCAGGTGAAATAAGACCCTGTTGTTGAAGCATGGCGGAATGTTGTTGCATAAGCTGTTGTTGTTGTTGATGAGTCTGAGTTTGTTGTTGAGTTTGTTGCTGTTGTTGTTGAAGTTGTTGATGCAACTGAATAACTTGCTGTTGGTGTTGCAGCATTTGATGTTGATGATCTTGCTGTAACTGGCCACTTGAGTGTTGAAACTGATGAGCAAACTGAGGTTGGTAGAATTGGAATTGAGATCTAGGTTGTTGCTGTTGTGTCTGTTGAGGTGGATGCTGTTGTGACTGGATTTGTTTAGATTGTGTTTGGTGATGAACAAAATGTGCCTGCTGTTGACTTTGTTGTTGTCCAGTTTCTTGTGATTGTTGGTTTTCCTGGAGTTGTTGGCGCTGTTGTTGATGAATAAAAGCTGAAACATTAGGGATTTGTTGAGAAGCTGAATAAGCTACTATCTGCGGATATTGTTGTTGAGTTTGATGAAATTGACGACCTAATGCTGCCGCAGCCATTACAGCTGCAATATTTGTATTCGCTACTGTAGTCGATGTTGGATTCACAGAGACAGGATCAGAAATCGGAGATATTCCAGCTCGCTGTGTTAACCCAGACGTACTAACCGGAAATGAAGTTACATCTGCTCCCATTTTCTGAGAAGAGCTTTGATAGGCACCAGTGTTAGCAACTGAACAGTTATTGTTGCCACTGTCCGAAACCGCATTAGATCCCAAAAATGAGATTGAAGATGATGCACCTGTGTTATTAGAATTGACTAGAAAGGGCATTACTTGCGCATGAGGATAAGATCCTGAATTAGCTGTTGTAAATCCCATAGAAGTAGTTTGGCTTGTGGGATAAAAAGAAACAGGATTAGCTGCTGTTGCGGTATGAGAAAATTGACGCGGATGAGCGGAAAATAAAGCTGGATGATACTGAGCAATTCCTGCAAGTGAAGCTAAAGTAGAATGATGTTGTGATGGTAAATGCAACTGTTGACAAGTTGGCAAAGGGAAAGAAATTGTAGACAAAGAAGAAGGGATCTGTTGAGCATCAGAAGTCTTTTCATTCATATTAGATGGAGCTGAGCTAACATTATGGTATGATGAAAAACATACATTACTTTGACTAGTTGTACAAACATTTGTGATTGAAGAGAAATCAAACACACTACACGAAGAATTATTGACACTGATAGAAGGATTGGCAACAGTTAGTGGGAGACCTAGAGTTTTTCCAATAGAGTTAACACTTAGAAATGACGCCGCTGATGCAGCAGCAACAACAGCTGCTGCCGCGGCTGCAGCCGCAGATGCTGTACTTGTAGTCTTGGATTTTTTTCCACCAGTAGCACGAGGTTTAGGTCCATACATATGAGTTTTCTCATGTAGTCTTCTTTTGTCTGAACGAGCAAAACATTTTCCGCAATGGGAGCATTCATATGGCTTAACTTTAGTATGTATACGTTCATGGATTTTAAGTTTATCGGATCTTGTAAAGCGCTTAGGACAAAAAGTGCATGCATATGGGCGAACACCTGTATGAGTACGATGATGAATTTTTAATTTGTCAGAACGAGTAAAACGTTGTTTACAAGTAGTACATTCAAACGGTTTAACATTTAAGTGAGAAATCTCATGAAGACGCATTTTATCAGCCCTAAGAAATGCTTTACCACATATAGAACATTTATGAGGTCGGATATCAGAATGAGTTAGTTTATGATTCTTTAATGATTTCATACCAGAATATCGTTTGAAGCATATATCACATTGATAAGGTTTTGTAATAGTTATATCTGCATGTGGTGGTGGTGGAGGATCACCCAGAGAAGGATCAATCTTTAATAAAATCTCTTCAGGAAGTGTTGGTAATGGTGAAAGTACAGTTGGTAATGGTGAAACACACGTCTCACTACTTGATGTAATTGCATTAGATGGTATAGAATTAGTTTGGCCAGTCGATGATATTGATGATAAACTACCATTCATTGGAATCATATTAAATGATGATACTGCAGAAGTGGGACATAATGTACCTACTACATCACAAGTTGGAATACTTGTGCTAAGAACAGTAGTGCTGGATATAACCTCTGTTTGAGGCTTTTTACTAGTGGTTTTAGACTTTCGTTTCTGTTTCACTGAAGTGGTAACAGTGGTAAATGATGGGAAATTTGTTATATTAAGTATAGATGTTCGAGGAGATAGTTGATTATGAACTGCCGGAGTTGTCTGCAGTGTTGGTGAACTTTGCATACCAAAACCAGTAGTATCCAAAATAGTTGGTAATGATTGTGATGTATTGGTACTGGTAGTCTGGAGACTAACACCAGAAATCGGATTCATTTGTTGTGACTGAGGAACAACAGGTTGGCGCTGTAAATGTTGATGCAACTGTTGTTGTTGCTGCTGAGATGGGTTTGAAAGTCTGGCTTGTTGTTGTAGCGAATGTTGTTGTAACTGTTGTTGTCTAAACTGTTGTTGCTGTAACTGAATTTGTTGTTGAAGTTGTAACTGATGTTGATGTTGTTGTTGCTGTTGTAATTGTATTTGGTGTTGATGTAACTGTTGATGTTGTTGTGACTGTGCATGAGTTTGTGATGGGATTGAATGTTGCAAAGTTAAAGGTGTTGTTGATTGTAAACCAAGTGAAAAATTATTACTTGTTCCACTGACCGAAGCAGAATTATCTAAATTGACACTACGAGAGGTGGCAGTTGATGAATCAGGTGACTGAAGATGTTGAAACGAATTGGCGTTTGGAAACTGGAATGGTGCCCCTGTTCCTGGTTGTACTGCTGCAGCTGCAGCGGCTGCCGCAGCAGCTGCGTTTCCAGCTGTCTGTGCAGAAAGTTGTGTCCAAGAAGCGAAATGTGGGTTTTGAACCATAACTAAAACCGAAAATAGGAAACAATAGGTTCTAGATAACGAAAAATCATAAGTAGCAAGCTCCACAAGAACACTCGGTCTTCTACCTTTCTATTATTATATTTAAACCTTAGGCGAGAAGTATGAATAATGCATGATAACTACTGAGTTGCATCTTTTGGGTTTTTGATATCTTATTGAACGGTCTTGATAAGTATATACAATTTAGACATTAAAAAAGTTTGATGATATTCAGACTGCATTTATGACAGTGAAGCAGGTTAACTATATTTTAATGAATAATGAATGTATCAAAGAAATCTGTTTTTCTTATATAATTGCATACTTCATGAGATTTCTTTTTTGAACCATATCCATTGTTTAGTTTTTTTGTCAGCAATACCACAACTATTTCAACTGGACTAGATAATACATGGTTTATGGCTGACTGACTGATATACCTCCTTTGCCCACACAATTCGAGCGCTGTCTGTTTGCAAAGGAGTCAGGATCAATATATCATAACGTTACTTACTGTAAGAATGAAATCTACATTTGTCTACTAAATTAACGCTAACCTGATAAAACTCATTCAACCATTTTGGTATCGGATATTATTTCGGAAACGCTTTCTGTTGTGTTTCCGGATGCGAATACTCACGAACTTTGTTTTGAAAAACGCATAAGGAACCATAAGCTGAATTCAGTCATCGTTTGTAACACATTTACGGTACCTTTTAATCACTAGGATACGAGCGTTTTGTTTTACGACTCTCACGTCAGTCAGAAATAAAGCATATTGAAACCGACCTAATTCATCAGTCAGTTAGAAAAGTAATAGGTAATTATAAGGTCAAGAATCAAATCAAGAAGACAATCAAATTGAATGTGTAGACAATGATAGGACAACTGTCCATAACACCTAATTAAATTAAATATCAACGGGACAAGGTGTTATTCAGTCAGTCACAATACCACACATGTATATCGGTTTAGGTTGCCATATGTCATTAGCATAGAAACAAAATTTTCAGGTCGAATCCCAGAATAGTAGAGGCAGTAGCAGTATTCGTGGTAACAGAAAAGATTAGGCACTAAAAATATAAGTAAACATAAATTAGTGAGACAAAACGAAAAATCTAGGAATTCAGAAACTTAGGATTTGGAGGAAAACAAAATGGATGCACCTGAGCAACTGAAAACAATTTTGAGCCATGTCATCCAAAATCTCTAACCACTGGTTATGATAATCTCAGACATTTTAACCACGTGGCCTACACCCATTACCATGACTCAGTCCAAATGTCAATGACTTTATGAACTGATGGTATGTTTTGGTTAATGATTATTATTATTTTATTTGGACACAAACATTGGTACAAGGAGCCAACAAAGAGAACTTTATTTATTTGAACACAAAAATATTGGTACAAGGGAGGCGCTAGATACATATGCTCCACACCATCAAATTTGTATGAGGGCAGTGATACTGCCCGGGTGCCCAAACCGAAGCATATGATCTTCTTAGAGGGCCACACCCGGAGCCTTTGACCCAAAATTCTGATCCACAAGACAGTGGAGCATCGTAAGGAGATGAAGTCCTATGGTAGCCGGTGACCAGCGATTGGTTCCTACGCCATTTCTTCGTCCACGGTACTGGAGCCCATGTGCACCATTGGTTTGAAATCATGGTTTTGCAACTCTTCTAGGTGGACTCTCCATGTCCATAACCGGGTTAAAGCGCCGGACATTCGCTTTTCGTCCTCTCAATTTCATAGACAACACCCCTGCCACGAGAAGGCAGTGGGTAGGACTTCCCTGGCAGAGGCTATATATGCGTGACTATGTGAGAGCATTTCGAGAGGGAGAGCGAACTCTCCCCACCCGGCCATACCAGGGCGTTTGGGAGTTGAGGTGTTAGAGATGATACAACACAGTGGCTAGAGATGTTATCAGACATGGTTCAGAATAGAAGCCAGTGGAGACTTTACGGTAACTTTCTTTTACTTCATAAAAATAAACTTATTTTTTTTAACTGAAGGAATTCTTTCTGGTTGCATTTTTCCTAACTGGACTGTATGACAGCTTTCTAACATTTAGCGACGGGTGAAAATATGATCAATACATCCTCGTTAGGTGGATCAGTCGTCACAGGCCATGGAGGGCAGGACAGTCTGATCGATGTTGCCGGGGCAACAGACCAATCGAACCGCTTCTCGAAAAACTGCCCATCATCTAAAACATCGGTAGATGTTAGTGACTGACCTCCCATCATCGTCACAGATTGTTTCGCTCACACCAGACTTCTTGCTGATAGTGATTCGGATAAGCTGAAGGAGCTTGCAGGAAGTTGAGCGAAACCGAAAGCGAATTTACTCGCCATTTCCATGGTGTCATGCAATTGCAACCAATGCTCATCCACACTTTTTGGTGGAATGGTAGCTAGTCTTGGACCCAGCTCGGTTCGATATTTAGTTGCAACAGAAGTTGCAACCAATTTACTGACATCGATCTGTTTATGACGATGAACTCGTTGGCCACTAAAAAGGTAAGGCTAGCACAAGCAAGGGCATGATCAGAGTCCAAATAGGTATTTCAAAAGGAGCGGGATTCTTGTACATAGCCACGCCAGTGGTAGCTGATCGTAATGTGATCAATCTGAGTCTAGGCTTGAGATGCAGAGGGAGCACACCAGATGGCACATCGGTGATGATTGTGCCGGCAGTTAGTGCTAGCCAGAAACATGTTGTGATTTATGCACATTTGCAGTAGACGGTTCCCGTTTTTCTGACCTGCGACCAACAAGTCCCCACCGGCCACCCAAACGACTCTCATCTGTGCCTAGACACTCGATCTGAGCATTCAAGTCTCCGGCTAGTACTACAGTATCTGTCGAACGCACTTTCTGTAGAACTGTTAACTGGTGGTAAAATTCATCCTTGATCGAATCCGGGCTGCAATCTGTTGGAGCATAGACGGAGATGACGAAAAGACATCGTTTCTCATACCGATTTCTTCGCACTTTGATGGAACCTTCTAATCTAACACACACACACACACACCGATTCAATAGATCAATGCTGCCTCATCTCTAGAGCGTAGTGAGACACCAACGCCAGCAAAACCAGCCAATGCCACAGGAACCCAGGACAGATGCACGTGAAAAAAACTTTTAGAAGCGACAGATGGAGAGCGAACTTGTAGTACTTCACTAGTCTTGAATACGGATCTCGGATAGACAGCAGACGTCGATATTAAAACTTCCTAAAGACATAGCCAGCCCTACCTATTGTCCGATCTGCATTAGTGTGCGAACGTTGAAGGAAGCCAGACTTAGTGGTGTACGTGGTTTTAGAAAGACTATTCGGTGGAAGCACTCAACTATTGACCAGTCAGTGACTTGAGATCGTTTGGATAGGACAGGGTTTCCACCATAGGCGAGCTGTTGTATAATAAAATACCCAAAACGAGAATAAAGAGTACATAAGTGACGTAGTATAAAAGAAATAAAGACGAATGTTATCAAATTATTGTGACAATGACTTGTCTGGATGAACGTTGAAGCACGAGTAATTTTTCCAGAAATATTATTGATGTGTATGGGTTGGAATACTGTCCGGGTGCTCAAACCGAAGCAGGTGGTTTTTTTAGGAGGCTACTCCCCGAGACCTTGACTCAGAGGTCTAATTCATAAGGCAGTGCAGCAACGTTCGATGTAAACTCATGGTAGCTGGTGACCAAGAATACGTTCGTATGCCATTCGTTCCCTCAGGATCCTGCAGCCCATGTGCACCACTGGTTCGGAATCATGGTTTTTTAACTCACTTAGATGGATCATCCGTACCCGCCAACCCGATTAGAGAGCCAGACATTCGCTTTTTGTCCTCTAAATTTCGTAAACAGCATCGCCGCGAGAAGGCAGTGAGTAGGACTTCTCTGGCAGTGGCTGTTTGGTTTGGCTGCCCCTTAGCATTCTTCCAGCCCACTCCTACACCGGATATTTGCCGTCGAATAAAAAGTAAACATCAAAAAGTGTCATAGGTGATTAGAGGAAATTCGCTTGTATGTCATTCTCCTGATTGTTCGGCCAAATCTTTGGGTATCGTACCAACCACCTAGCTCAGAGAATGCAGCTTTGCTGAATCAAAAACGACAAGGGTTGGTAATATACATTAGTTCGGTCACAGTTCCTACAGCTTCTGCTAACTGAATCTGATACTACCCGGCCTTGTAAGCCGAGGTATGCGGTAGTTGAGTATACGTAACTAATGTCCAAACTATATCGGTCGATGGTGCACAAACTCATTTACCGATTCACCGTTTTATCTAATATCCTACGCACAACATAATAAGTATTCATTTGGTGGTTCCATGATACATACGCAATATTTTGAAGAGATTTATGGTCATATACTTGAAAGTCGCGCATGACTCGATGGAGAGAGGACTAAAACGTGGCATACCGGTTCTAGTTAAAAAGAACTAGGCAGGCAATTAGCATCGTTAGTCTTTATTGAGCATATGGCTCACAAACAAGTGCATATGCCTATGATCAATCGCTGAGCCCTTGGATTCTACAAGCACTGTGTCATTTGTTCAGAAACAGGATCATTTTAACAAACTTTAATCATTACACTTCGTTGATCAAAAGGCGCATTTAACCGTATAACACTAGCCTGGTAAATAAGCAGTGAAAAAAGTAACGGAAATTCTCGAAATTCACGTTTTCCGAAAATAGCTCAATATGAAATCATATCGAGATTAAGTGTATGAGGACTCGCAAGTCAGATTAAGATTCCGGTATAGGTATTAAGGTGTATTGTTAGTATTAGTGTCCGAAAGATCTGGAAACAATTTATGGTGTACCGGTATTATGAGCAAGGAATACAACAGGGTTTTTAATCACAGCCGCAGATCAGAATTCCAGCATATTTACTTCAATCGAAACATAAAGGCGGTATCACTAACCCCACACAAAAATTAACTCGAATTCCAGGACGTGGAAATTCACTTCAATACTACGTTTGGTGTTAAAAACCTAGATCTTACATAAAGAGGTGATGCTAAAACACTCATTACGACCTTAAAGAAAAAGTAATCGCAAGGCACTTTGGCAGATAACACTCCAAATCACTCAGTAGCACTGCACACTAACTAAACTCAAACTTTAATATTACAATAAAAGTCCATTCCATTGAAAAAACTATTTGAGCAAGCGTTTGTCAGAGTCCGGATGAGTGGGACTGTATCACCATAAATACTTTTACAGATTGGTTAGCCAGTTGAACTTCGTTACACGTTGTAATCTTTGCGCGAACATTGGAAGATTTCTTTTCTACCTACTTTGAAGATAAGTAAGAAACATGTTGGAAACAATTTAATTCCCTGCATACAAATATCGGTTAACACGATTAGCGGCTTATTTGACCTTAATATCTCTTATACTACGTTTTCAACTACCACGAGCGATCTTAAAATACGTGCCGTAAAAGGCAAGTAGAAATACATGAATACATTTTGATGATATTCCCTCACAATTCAAATCGACTAATGGCCTCACAAATAATTAGTCATCCCTTCAAAACTTTTTATGAACGTTAGTGAACAATCGTTTACACTTTAAATCAAGAACCTGAATCTACAATGGAGTTTACGATCTGCAAAAGTCCCCACTAAGTAATCAGTTCTTTAGACCTACTACTAAAAGTGAGCACGTTTAATCGAACTATTCAGGAGAAGATCGAATACGCACAATAACTCAGAAGAAAAGAAATAACGTAGGCCTTCGACCTTCAGTTTCCGAAATGTAAGTCGGTAAAAAGAATTCGAATGCCAACAACGACTACGCAGTTAAGGCACTAACTAAGCAGTGAGTTTCATGAATTTGTTAAATCAGTGCGTTGGAAACTTTCCGAACGATCTTAATAGTGTCTTTCAATAAAATTCGGTGGCTTTAAAGTGAATTTACATTGTCTCAAATAACCGAAAGAACCGAATGGCCAAAGCCAATTTTTCATAACACTAAGTTGATAAACACATACCTGGGAACCTTCCATTTTCCATTAGTGGGTGATTTCCAGCCAACGACAAGAAAACATTGTCCATAGCAAAAGAAAAAACACCATAAAGCCCAGATTGGTAGTAGCCGCTTTCGTTAGCACTACCATTTGAAACAAAGTTTACGACACATGTTTCAATTTCAGTTTTGTGGAGTCAGAAGTCATCCTATTAGTATAAATTTAAACCATTTCACGCTTCATCATTCTTCTTCGAGATCAAAATGATCCTTTTTCCATTTATTAACGAAGAAAGCCATATTCATGAGAAACCTGAAGGAAGATAAGTTTTCTCATGGTCCCAAGAAAGGACTGAAAAAAATTTAAAACGCTCACAGGCAAGATCGCCCAACGATTATTTGATATACACTTTGATATAGTGCCCCTACTACAAGCAACTTAGTTATCACAGAGAGTAACTCTTAGATAGACTTTTACTGTGAAATGTGTACAAATGGAATCAGCATAAAGTTATTACGTAGGTAAACCAATGCTGTCCACAACCAGCACTTTTAACTTATAAGTTCTATGAAAAAATGATTTCCTAGTGGACCAACTGCTGATTCTATTCAACTCTCCAATATCAATATCTTAACTACATGTTAGCAAAAACTTACAAGTGGTCATTTAATGAAGATCGGAGACTGTTGCATGTCCTAGGATGAACAGAAATCAACGTTTTTCCAAAGTGCTGCTTGTGAGATCTTTGGTCTAAGACTTCTCAGTAAGTCGTAAGATGTTCAAAATGAGTCCACTCATCGTCGCTGTCAAAATAAAGCTTAACTTAGGTCATTAATGTACAAAGATGGAAATGTCTGGCTTATCTACAGTAATAATTTTTCTATTTACCAAAATAACTGGATGTACTAGTGGCTTACCTTAATCTCTAGAAAATCCACTTCCAAAACGTATGTGATTAACGCAATCGTAAAAAGATATATACATTTTGAAACAGCGAATGATTTCTTCAAATAAACAGTCTTATATGTATGCAGCATTCGTTTGTGAAGTTAGTTTCTCCAGTGTACATAATGCTACTAAGTGGTTTTACATTCAGCACTTCCCTGCAGCAGACTGCCATGCCTTGGGAAGGTCATATAGACTATTTGCATTGAAGTACGATGGGTGTTTTGGGCACTGTTTTTTGGAAAGTTTTGATTTTTCCACTTCTGTTATTTTCCTGAAGCTTGGATAAAAATCTGGATTATTGACTTCACCTCATGTTTATAACATGGATTAGGTCTACCGTTCAGATTTTGATTTTGAGTTCATGTACTGAAGATAGAAGGCTGATGATCTCTAATATTTGATTTCTAGTAAACTGCTGTAAGTATTTAGTTGTCCCTCGAATGAGTTAATCCAAGTTACTGACACCAACTTTTCATGTTGATGATGTCACAGGTATTCAGTGTTTGACAACGCTTCTACCAGTAACACCTTCTAATATATTTCGTTCCCGCCCAGAGAAATCAAAAGACAGAGTCGAGGAGATCGGAAGAGTATATTTGGCGATGACCAATATATCGGAATTCTCTGATCTAATCTGGCTAGCGGTTGTGGTTGATGTTGAGCACGGCGTTCCCACACGTGATCTGGTGCGGATGCCTGACCGAGCGCCTTCAGCTAGGTGAGTCCACTAAAACATATGGTCAGCATCCAATGTCGAAAACTTAGTGCTATTTATTTTGGGGATTTATTTACCGCTACAGATCACTCCCCCCCCCTAGTGGGGCAGTGACGACCCTAAGACGTGGCCAGCCAGAAGTTTAAACCCAACGAGTTTGTCGTTGGTAAACACTCTTCTGATAGCTTACTAAGTGTAGCAGCGTCTGGTCGTCTTTCCTTACTATATGGGACCGAGGTACAACATAGTAAAAAAAGAAAATGTACAATGAAAATTTCGGATCCTTATAAACGTCATCGTTCTTTTCCAGCCGTCCTGGAAAAGAAAAAAGAAAATGTAAGTGCATGTCGAAATACACTCGTATGTGCGTAAAAACACAATGTCGGCGGAGAAAAAATGGAAAATAAACTCATGAACACGTAATAGCATTAAAAAATTGTTTTTTTTGTTTTGTATTTTTTTTAAATAGAAATAGAAATATATAAGCATATTAAAATTGTTTTTTTTTTAAAAAATAATATAAAATGTCGAGAAGTGCCTTACGTGCAATAGTCGTTTAAATGTTCTGGAAATCTCACCCTTCTTCCAGAACGCGTCGTTTTAAGTTTATTTTCGGATACTGTCGAAGTATCATCGTGTGTGTTGGTTGTCGGATGAGGTATTATAAGTGTCGGAGTCGTGTCGTTCGATTGTACCGAAGGAAAATCCACGTAGATAGGATTTCCTTCTAAATACGCTGCTTTTAAGCGATCGATGCTGATGCTATCGTTGGTCCCGTTCTTATCGACTATATAGTACTTAGATTCACGTTGAAGAACTTTGAAGGGTCCTTCGTATGCTGATTCGAATGGTCGTCGATGCGAGTCTCGACGAACGAAAACGTGTGTACTATATCGTAAGTCAGGTTGAACGAAAACATCAGTTGATTGTGGTCGAGTGGAAGCAGGTTTAACTGAACGCATTGCGTTTGTAAGCCTGTTCGTGTAGGAGGTTAGATCCATGTTCATTGAAGAGGATGAAGGATCCACGAATTCTCCTGGAAGTCGAAGTGTCGTTCCATAAACGAGTTGAGCCGCAGTGTATCCAATGTCAGCTTTCACTGCATTGTGAATACCTAGTAAGACGAGTGGAAGAGCGTCGGTCCACTGTGAAACGTTTGCAGCTGATAGCGAAGCTTTCAGTTGTCGGTGAAAACGTTCTACCAACCCGTTTGCTTGTGGATGGTAGGCGGTCGTTCGGAAGCGAGTGATTCCTAAAAGTGTGGTCAGACGACGGAAAAGATCAGATTCAAACTGACGTCCGCGGTCTGTAGTGATGGTTGAAGGGCAGCCGAAGTTTGCTACCCATCGTTCGACGAAGGTGCGGGCCACTGTTTCAGCAGTGATGTCCTTGATAGGTACTGCTTCTGGCCATCGAGTGAAACGGTCTACGCAGGTTAAGAGATAAGAGTATCCATTTGAATCTGGTAAAGGTCCTACCAAATCCAGATGAACATGGTCGAAACGAACATCGGGAGTTTTAAACGAGCCTAAGGGACATTTATTGTGTCTGATAACCTTAGATTTTTGGCAGCTTACACAGGAGCGTGCACACTCCCTCACGTCTTTATTCATTCCAGGCCAGCAAAACCTTTCTGCTATAAGCTTGATGGTTGCACGAACACCTGGATGCGAAAGTTTGTGCAATGTGTTGAAGACATTGCGTCGATAATGTTTCGGCAGGATTGGGCGATCCCTACCTGTAGATGTGTCACAAAGTAAGGTTTCCTTACCTGTTCTCATCTGTTTGATACGTAGTTTAAGTGTTGTCGACGATAACTCGTGCTGAAGATCACTGTCTTCTTTTTGAAGCTCGGCGAGTTTAAGAAGGTCGATTCCTTGGAAACTGTTCAAGGAAGTTATGCGAGATAAAGCGTCTGCAACTACATTGTTTGCTCCAGAGATGTGTTGAATGTCTGAAGTAAACTGCGAAATGTAGTCCAGTTGTCGAGACTCACGGGGAGAGTACTTGTCAGAAGGAGAGCTTAACGAGAAAGTGAGCGGTTTATGGTCCGTGAAAAGAGTGAATTCGCGACCTTCGATGTAGTGTTGGAAATGCCGTACAGCACAATACATAGCTAGGAGTTCCCTACCGAATGTGCTGTACCTCGATTCGGTGTCTAGCAACCTTCTAGAGAAAAATGCCAAGGGTTGCCAGGAGTTGTTAACCCATTGTTGTAAGACTCCTCCGATTGCCGAGTCGGATGCGTCTACTGCGATGCTAATGGATGCTCGGGTGTCCTGATCTGCGAGCATTGTTGCTTTAGCAATCAGTTCCTTAACTGTGGAGATTGCTTTTCTTGCAGTGTCGTCCAAATTAATGGATTTCGCATTTCCACGAAGTTGGTCGGTCAGAGGTTTCATAAGTAATGCGCATTTCGGTATGAAACGTCTATAGAAACTTACGAGGCTGTTAAACGTGCGTAACTGCTTGACGATGGTCGGTTCTGGGTAATCCAGAATGGCCGCCACTTTGGTCCTAAGAGGTCGAATGCCTTGAGCATCGATAGTGTGTCCTAGGAAGTCTAACGAGTCGGTTCCGAATTGGCATTTCTGAACGTTTACAGTTATGCCATGTTTTTGAAGTCGTTCGAAAACAAGATCCAGATGCTTGAGATGTGTTTCTCTGTCCGGACTTGCGATTAAACAGTCATCAACATACGCGTGTACGAAGTTGAGACCTCGAAAAACGTCGTCTATGAATCTTTTGAATGTTTGAGCAGCATTCCTTAGACCGAAAGGCATTCACAAAAATTCATAGAGTCCGAAAGCAGTTATGATAGCTGTTTTCGGTATGTCGTCAGTAGCCATAGGGATTTGGTTATACGCTTTGACCAAGTCGATTTTCGAAAAGACAGTTGTACCTTTCAAGGTAGCTGTCAAATCGTGAATGTGGGGCAACGGGTAACGATCGGGAATGGTTTTCGCGTTCAATCGCCGATAGTCACCAGTTGGAAGCCAATCGTTGCTGTCCTTTTTAGGGACCATGTGCAACGGAGATGCATATGGGCTACTTGACGGTCGTATGATTCCTAAGTCCATCATGTGATCGAATTCGTTTTTCGCTAACCTTAGCTTTTCAGGAGCTAGTCGTCGTGCTTTAGAGAATACAGGTGGTCCTGTAGTCGTGATGTGATGTGTAACGTTGCTGGTTACACACGGTAGTTTCGGTTGAGTTTGTTGTATCCCAGGGTACTTATCGAGTAGTGGTTGATAGAGTGGGTCTATCATATGTTTAACTGTGACTGGGGATACTCTACAACCAGTAAAAGAAGATACGCAAACGGACAAATTAGTGTTTCCGTCTACTAGCCTCCGTTTGTGAGTGTCGATGATCAGATTGTGGTGTTGTAGAAGGTCCATACCAATGATTGGCATAGAAACATCTGCAATAACGAAAATCCAGTGGATGGGTTTGCGTAAACTCACGTTAAGGTAAACGT